TTCGCAGGTCAACTTACCTTCTACACCACCAGACACACCAGCATTAGCAGTAGCCTCGCGTTTCAGTGTTCGCAAATCAACTTACGCCCTACACCACCAGACACGCCAGCATTAGCAGCAGCCTCACGTCTTAGTGTTCGCACGTCAACTTACGCCCTACACCACCAGACACACCTGCATTAGCAGCAGCCTCGTGTCTTAGTGTTCGCACGTCAACTTACCTTCTATACCATCAGACACACCAGCATTAGCAGCAGCCTCGCGTTTCAGTGTTCGCACGTCAACTTACCACCTACACCACCAGACACGCCAGCATTAGCAGCAGCCTCGCGTTTCAGTGTTCGCAGGTCAACCTACAAACTACACCACCAGACACACCTGCATTAGCAGCAGCTTCGCGTCTCAGTATTCGCAGGTCAAATTACCTTCTACACCACCAGACACACCAGCATTAGCAGCAGCCTCGCGTCTCGGTGTTCGCAGGTCAACTTACCACCTACACCACCGGACACACCAGCATTAGCAGCAGCCTCGCGTTTCATTGTTCGCAGGTCAACTTACCACCTGCACCACCAGACACACCAGCATTAGCAGCAGCCTCGCGTTTCAGTGTTCGCAGGTCAACTTACTTTCTACACCACCAGGCACCAGCATTAGCAGCAGCCTCACTCATCAATATAGGCGTAGTAGTAACTCACTTCCTAAGACGTCGTACTTTAGTTTAATGTTAATTCTCCTAGGGAAGTACTTGCCTTCTAAACTAGATTATTAGCTTGACAAAAAATACTAAGACGAACTAGAGGAGTACCGTAAATGAGCACTTATTGTCCATATTTCTGCTCACAATAAGTACTAGAAGTGTACTTATAGACAAAAAAATTAGTAGAAAATCAAGTATCTAAGTTGTATAATTTGCAGTGAAAGAATGCCTCTAAGTTGTGGTTGCAAAGATGCGGAGTCCGATTACGGCTGCCTAGATGTGCCGGTCCTACAATTGTTCCGATTTTAAGCGGCCTTCTTGGTGCGGCAAACTAATTAGATGAGGTGCCGAAGCGAAGCAAATCACTGCATAGCAATTGTTTTGGTGGCAGTATCTTTAAGCTGACGGTTGCCGCATAACGCATAAGATACTTCGGCTCGCCCCTACTAGCAAGGCGGATGGCCGACCTGTTCTGGCCACTCTCTTGCCGTGAACGTCAGTGACTGAGGATGACATTCAGCCCTGGATAGCCTAGTGTCTGGCCGTCATCACAGCTCTGCTCTACCGTACCCAGCCATTACGAACACAAGCCATCCGAACTGTTCATGATCCATGCACGGAGCCGTTCCATGTTTGGCCATACAATAGCTGTATCACCAAAATATATCAAGCTTTCCACCTTCGTCTGTGTTTGCAACGATGGGGTGCTGTATGTGACATTAAACCCACTCGCCGAGGCGTAGGCTTCAATTTCTAGGGCCACCTCACTCTACCCGATCTCATATTTGTACGGATGTATTCCTCTTCAACAAACCGAGACTAGAGATTGGCTGCTGCTTGGTCTGGACATTAGGCATGCTTGGACGCGAGAACCATGACGACGTAGTGGGCTTTGGTTAGGTCATTCGTTCAGTAAGTGGAGGAGACATTGGCGGATGGCTATGTCGAAGCTGGTTTTGACCCTGACACGTGTTGGCTGACTACGCGAGCGCCGGGATCGACTGAGTCACTCGCACTGCTCCTAATCCTTGGCCGGGTTTACTTATCTTCCGAGTGTTTGTGCCACCAACCTGACAGTAAATTAGAAGTACCACACAGTGAAGCGACCTTACGTGAATTTACCTGCGACAGCGCGCACAAAGCTTACAGTGACTTCCCAGCAGGGGGCTCTGAGGCTAGGATAAGGCTATTATTCAACGAAAATTCAGAGCGAAAAAGGCTTGATGTTGACGCTGTAGGGAGAGAAGTCTGTCATGCCATGAAAAAAAGAGCTGTAAAAATTAGGAGCGGAGGCAACCATGCAAACGTAACTTCTAGGAAAGAGTCGATCATGGATAAGCAGAAGTAGCTAGATTTGTAGCAATATTTTTTGCGTGCATAACCTCTCCAGCTGCTGGAAGTCAATGTTCTCGCTATGCAGGGAAGGACGTTAGTTAAGCTGGTAAGTTACGCCCTATGACTGACTAATCACGCCAAGGCCCTAATGGTTTCCCCACCACGTGCGCCCGCGATTCACAGGCGCGACTCGGCGGCAACGTGAAATACACAAGCGCAACTCTCTCACTCCCCGTGGCCCCCATATCTCCTTGCAACGTTTGTGTACAAAAAAAAATAGACTTACACCACATCTAACCTGCATGGGAGCGCGCCATTATGGAGAAATACTTGCGAGATTGGCGGCAGGACGCTCTGAACAAACATCAATACGAGTCGGCGATTTTCGTTGGAGACAAGCTGCTTGCTTTGACGAGTACACCACCTCTGCCTTCACGAACGCTGGAGAGGGCCGCGCTAACTTGTAGATAGACGACGATAAAGATGCGTTTTGGCTAGCTCAAGTCCATTTCAGCACCGGCAATTACAATCGCGCGCAATCGTTCCTCTCCCGCGGCGACCTGATCCAGAATAACGCCTCGTGTCGGTACCTCGCAGCCCACTGCTCGATCAAGCTTGGGAAAACCGAGGAAGCACTTTCGACACTGGGCGACAAGAATCCTACGCACCTCATATCTGCTCCTGGCAGCGCTCGTCAGAAACTGAGACATGTCGACGTCAACGCTCGGGCGGGTGCTAAACACCTCAAGACGGCTTCGCGGAGCGACCGGGTCCCCACGAGCGAGGAACGTGACAGGGAAGACGTCACGAGTCTGAAGTTCGAGGCTGGCATGTGCTATTTGCGAGGAGTGTGCTATGCGAAACAGAATTCCTTTGACAGGGCGAAAGAGTGTTACAAGACAGCCGTCCAGATCGACGTCCAATGCTTCGAAGCCTTTGACCAGCTCATGACAAACTCCCTCATGTCGCCCGAGGAAGAGTGGAAATTCCTCGAGTCCCTCAACTTCGATACCATCACCGTGGACAACAACCCCTCGCTCTCCCAAGAAGCTGCACAGTTCACGAAGACCCTGTACACTACACGCCTGTCCAAGTACTCCCGTCCGGAAGAATTCACAGCAGCTACTGAGACTCTATCAACACACTATAGTCTGGCCTCAAATCCAGATATCTTACTATCAAAGGCAGACCTCCTCTTCACCCAATGCCGATTCCGCTCCGCTCTCGCCCTCACAACCTCCATTCTCTCTTCCGACAAATACAATTTCGCCACTCTCCCCACCCACCTCGCCTGCCTCCATGAGCTCGGCCAGAAGAACGCCCTCTTCCTTCTCGCCCATGACCTCGCCGACACCCATCCCCAAGAACCCTGTTCTTGGCTCACAGTAGGCATTTACTATCTCTCGATCTCCCGAATCGCTGAAGCCCGTCGCTTCTTCTCTAAAGCCTCTATGATGGACCCGCACTTCGGACCCGCCTGGATAGGCTTCGCCCATACCTTTGCCGCAGAAGGCGAGCACGATCAAGCCATCTCGGCCTACAGCACTGCGGCTCGGTTATTCCAGGGCACCCATCTCCCACAGTTATTCCTCGGGATGCAGAACCTGCAACTGAACAACCTCTCCCTGGCCCACGAGTACCTCAACACAGCCTACGATCTGTGCAAAACAGATCCCCTGCTCCTGAACGAAATGGGTGTGGTGTACTACCACGAAGACGCGCTGGCCGACGCCATCACTTTTTTCCGTCGCGCACTTAGTATTGCCGAACGCAACGACAGCGATCGAGACGCCTGGCTCCCAACGCGCACTAATCTCGCGCACGCGCTGCGGAGATACGGTCATCTGGATGACGCGCTTGCCGCTTTCGAAGAAGTGCTGCGACACGGGACTAAAGACGCAGGAGTCTTTACCGCGAAAGGCCTCGTGCTGCTCGAACTAGGCCGCTCGTGGGACGCTGTCATCGCTCTCCATGAAGCTCTCGCTGTCGCGCCACAGGACCCAATGGCGACGGATTTACTCACTCGAGCGCTCGAACTCTGCGAGTCGGATGATAGCTTGTTAGGGGCGGAAGGCAGTATGGGAGAGTCGGTGGGGATGGGAGCTGTGAGTGATGAAGATATTGACAACGAATTGGAAGGAAAGATTAGTCGGCTGAGAGAAATCCAGCAGAACAGGGCAGGGAGGGGAGGCAGACGCGGCAGGAGAGGTGGTGCTGGGTTTGTGGGTGGAGGGGCGCTGGAGGATGAGGGTGGTGAGAGTATGGTGGTGGACTCGGATGTGTGATGAGAGCGTCCGGGTCCGGCAAGAGTGAAAGAAATTGAGGGGAAGGTGGATGGAGGTTTGGCTGCTTAGCTTGGCTGCTTAGCTTAATTCTTGCTGTGTTTGAGCGGTTTTGGTTTTCAGCGGGTGGGATGCATGGCTGGAGTTTTTCGGTCTGGATACTACCCAACTGGGGAACTGGTCTTGGAGTTGAGAGTAGCCCTCAGGTGATGGCTCAAAAGTGTTGGGTATTCTCCCCGCTTCATAGTGTAGATCTGCATAATACTAAAATGGAAATAATTTCACAGCCAGGGGTCTTTTTAGTGATTGGTGAGTTATTGTAGGTCATGTTTATGACAAACAGCTCGAGCGGACTCTCTAGGACACTAGTATCCTGTGTCCACAGTCCCTTTATCCACGCACTATTTAAGCCATACTCTTTACAAGTAAAATATATTCAATACCCATTCATATTCCCATTATCACTACTTGCTTTCTACTAAGCTTCGCTAGTAGGATGATCCGCAGCTATACTCATCCTCCATCCCTTAGCTCTAAAAACCCTACCCAAACATCTGTCCTCACTTCCCAATCTCAACAACCTGACTCCCAACATTCCTCCCTAAAACCTCAATCTTAGCACCCGCATAGCTCCTAGAATACTCCACTCGCACCTCAATCTTCTCCTGTGGAAACAGAGTAACATAATTATCCTCCCAGAACACGGGCACAACATCCTTTCCCCCTGCATCCACTAGATTGAGCTTAACAAAAACAGCCGGAACACTCCCCTTATTCTCTAAACAGACAGTAGCATTCCCCACACCCTGACTCGTCGACGTAATCGCCACGTTCGCGGACTCAAGATCATTTAGCGCTGTGTAGGAAGTATACGAAGTAACGGGCGTGGAATACCACGTCGAATTCCGCCAATCAAGGACATCAGGTTTAGGGGATAGCCAGTATACATTTCGGCTAAGGATCTCGTTTCCGTTTTTTAGCAGAAGGCGGAGAAGCGCGGTGTCCTTGTCTTTAAGTTTGTCCAGTCCGGGGACTTTATCCAGGATTTTCTTACTGTGATTCGGCGCCGTGGTAGCAGTGACCGTTTGTGAGGAAACCCGTGACCCGCTGAGCGACAAGAGTTCAACTTCCACGGTCCTCGGGCCCGATTTATCAAGACTCCGGTTTATCAAATATACCGAACTATCCGCATAATCGTACGCAACATGCTCAATCCTACTCCCCGTCTTAGTGCCAAAGTACGATCCTGCTGGATGGAGGTAATAGTCAAAAAGACTCCAATGCAAGCTCGGCCACGCGTTATTCAACATCCAGTAAATCAGGCCAGTAGCAGGACGGGCCGGATTAGACCATTTCGCGGCATACGCTTCGAATTCCGCGCGCGTGGCCTCGTAGTCCGCCATCTGAGCTTTCAGCAAGTAATCTGGTAGACTGGTTGGCGCGCCATATCGCTTCCATAAGGCCGTGTTGTAGATTTCGCGGGTGTAGAAGGAGGATACGTTCGTGCTCATATGATACAAGCCCTTGTTCGGCGCTTTCCAGAGATCTGCGAGGTCGGCAGAGGACAGGAATTTCTTGAGAGATGAGAGTTCGGGTGTGCCGACTCCGGCTCCGAGTTCTGAGCCAAAGCCGAATGCAGCACCGAGTTCACTGCCGTACCAATAGTTTGGCGGAACCCAGTCGTATGGGCCGTCCATTTTCATGCCCCCGTTTCCAAGGAGCGACGGGAAGCCGCGTTGGGAGGCTGAGGCTATGATCGGGGCTTGCCAGTCATACGCCTGCAATGCCGAGACGTAGATTTTCGTTGCTTTATCATCAGGCCAGAAGTCTGATCCCACGAGGAAAGCGAGGGTGGATGGGTGGGAAGTCATCATTGCGGCTTCATGTCGCATAGAGGCGTTCGCGATAGTGTAATCAGGGGCGGTCCATTTTTGACCAGAGCCTTCGTCGTTGTATGCCCAGCCTTCCCATTTGTCGCAACACTCCCAGCCAGCCATTACCATGAGCCCCATTTCGTCGGCCAGAGAGTATAACGCAGGGTGTTCTTGTTTGCCTTCCAAGCGCACCGTGTTCAAGCCCATAGAGAGCATGTATTTGAACTGCGCGCGGAGTTTCTCGATATCGAAGCGCAAGAAAATGTCGGATGTGTAGCCCGCACCTAAGACTTGAAAAGGTTTTTCGTTGACGAAGAATGTGGTATCATTTGTGGCGCTGAGTGTTGATGTCACAGTTCTGATACCGAATTTCGTGGGTGTCGTGATGGCCGACTTGGACAATGTCGTGTATGCCACGCAAGAGAAACTATACAACGATTGACTTCCCCACTGCGCTGGCCACCAGATCTGCGGGCTCGTAATCGTCATATTAAGAGTCGCAGTCTTTGCAGCTTTTGCAGGAAGCGTGAAATTCATCGCTGGGTGCTGTTCCATCTCTTTACCGGCTGGATCTGTAACCGTACACACCATCTCCCCCCATATCTCCTTCGACTCCAAATTCTGCATATCAACCTTCAGGCTTAGATTCACTGCATCCCCCCGCCCGGACTTCATTGAAATGGCGCGTGGAGCAGAGAGAGATACAGCGCCTGTGCGCGTCACATCGATGTCACGCCAGATTCCGGTGCCATTGTCTGGCGGGTAGGGATTCCAGTCTACGAATCCGAGGGCTAAGTCCCGGTCGTAATTTGTTGGGTACACGCGGATCAAGAGAATATTCGTGCCATCTTTAATTGCATCCGTGATGGAAAAGGTGTGCCCTGCATATGCACCTGCTTGGGTGTTTTTGTCTGCTACGAGTTTCCCATTGATGTAGACATCTGCTCGGGATGTGACGCCGTTGGTGGAGAGCAGGAAATGCGTCTCAGGTTCTTGAGTAGCGTTCAGAGCGAATTCTGATCGGTAGAACCAGGGGACTTGGAATTGTGAATAATCCACTTTTTGGAGATTGGCGGAATAGAAAAGGTCGGTGTCTTTGTAGGCGTTGCTCTCAAGAAGAGCAGCCATTAATGTGCCATGCGAGCCTAGGGTGTACCAAGAAGATGTATCAAGCGAGGGAGAGGAGAGTTTCGAGATATCGACATTAAGTTTGGAGGACGATTGCAGTTTCCAGGTTGGTATTGTGGTGGATTGGCCATTTGAGGAAATAAGTGGTGTCGTCGCGAATGCCAGGCTCAGGAGGCATAACACGACCTGTAGAGTCGTAAGGGCTGAACGTGCCATGACGACTTCGACCAGAAAATGCGAATTGCGTGTAATGACTGGATGCGAAATTTATACGTTTACCCCAAAGTTTCAAAGACGAGATACAGCCATGGCATATTTCGCAGATCTCATGAGGATAGATGGCAATCTGCGGTCGGCCAATCAGTGCAACGTCAACTTGGGGCAGCTCAGGTCGTACCTCGTACTTTTCTAAGACATGGTGTGAGCTCACCACCAAATTTCCGCCCAGATCTATCAAAAGCCTAAATTAGCAGGCATTCAACCCTAGTTCCGGCAAGACTGTACGGGCGACAAACTTGGAAATAATTTGTGATCATCAAGGGGAATGCTAATTGTTTATTATGCTCGTTTCTCCGCATACCAAGACATTTGTAATATGCAGTTACATCCACTAGAGACGAATAGGCAGTCTGTGCTTCTGATGTTCCCAAATTCAAAAGATGGGTTAAGGAAGGCTATGCACTTGGGCCGTAGATGTGCCACCTGTGCTGCGGCTCTGCCACCTTTATCTAACTCATAGCTTCCAACCGCGCTTTTTCGCAAGAGCGGTTTCTTGTCTCACGGCTAGGTCAGCGATAATTTCCTCGCTTCCACCGCCAACGACCTGAGGGTAATTAGTTAATAATCGTACTGTCACAGGGAAAAAGCGGGTGCACTCACCATCATCCTCAGATCGCGACTCATCTGCTCAACCACAGCTCCAGGTCCACCCTTCTGATATCCAGCACCACCGAAAATTTGCTGCGCCTCGCGATTTGCCATCTCCAAAATGCGGCCGCCATGAACCTTTGACAAGGCTATTTGGCCCGCAATATCTGGATCTTGCCAGCCGAGTGGTGACTTCGAAATGTGGTATGCAAGCTGCTCCAGCCAGGCCCAGTGACTTTCAACGTATCGCCCAATTGTGGCTAACTTGTGACTGATGATCTGATGCGAGATGAGAGGTTTGCCAAAGGTGTGTCGTTTATGTGCGTAAGCGAACGACTCTGAGAGACAGGTGCGTGCCTTGCGGTTGCAGCCAACGGACATGATAAAACGCTCCTTGTTGAAGTTGGTCATGATTATACGGAACCCTTCGTTCTCTTTGCCGACCAGGTTTTCCACGGGAACGTGGACGTCGTCCATTTCCACAAAGCTCGCACCTCCGCCTTTCTGCCCACTGTTGGGTATCCGGCGAAAGCTCAAGCCCTTCGAGCTTGTGGGAATGACTAGGACAGAAATCCCTTTCATGCCAGGCCCACCTGTTCGCACCGCTGTCGTCATGTGTGTTGCCCATGGCATACCAGTAATCCACTTTTTGTATCCATTAACAACGTAGAACTTGCCATCCTTCGTCTTCTCGGCCGTAGTTTGGATGTTCGCCACATCAGACTGTATACGTCCTAATTAGCTTCGCCTTAATCAAAACTGCGTTTCACCTACTCCGCCACTAGGCTCGGTAATGCCCAAGCAAAAGCTGGTCTCCCAAGTAAACAGCCCAGGTAGCCACTTCCTTTTTTGTTCCTCAGTCCCATGATGCACAATTGGCGGCACCCCGATGACACTGCCACCGCCCAATGACGTCATCACACCCCCTTCCACCCTACTTGTCTCGCACATCAATGTCATCAAATGAAAGACATCCAAATCTGCAACCGGAATGCCCGCCGGGCCAGGGATATCCTTTGGTCGATACTGCTCGGGTACATCCGCAAAGGCAAACCCAGACCTCGCATACTTTAGTCGCGCTGCATCAGGAGCTTCACCTTTCTCTTCCCACTCCAGCATATATGGCTTAACATCCTCATCGATATAGGCACGAATTGCATCCCGCAATCTCTTGTGCGAGTCATTGTAGTAGGGCGAGACGAGGGAGCTGTACCAAGCAGGTTCGCTCCAAGGCGCGAGGTTCCCAAATGTTTCCTTCTTTTGGGCAGGCATTACGGAGGGGGCGAGAGATTCTTTCTTCAGGTTCACCATGGTGGTAGTCGCTGATTCGGAGGCATGGTGAAGTGTGGGAGTGAGGCGTGATAAAGCTCACCAGGAAGTGGTATTACCGCGGCTCATCCTGAAGAGCTGGGGGGCAGGGCGAGTCAGCGCCCAGTTTACAGAGGCCAATCACGGGTTGGCTCCGACGCCTCAACCTCCAACCTGATCATGGCACTACCTCTCCGGGCATCTACTGAGTCATTGTTGAATAATTTCAGGTAGGTATCTTGATACTTTGAGAAGTCTCCTGTTGAGCCTATCTGAAGGTTTCACGAGACATCGGTGAGCTCAGGTCCGGCTCTAAGTCACTCCCTAGGCAACAGTTCTCGTACGGCTGTATATTTCCAGCTCTCCACGCTAGCTCAGTAGGTCTCTTCTTTTCATTCAGCAACTGCAATGTTCGCCACTCTGTATCTGCGCTTGCCAACATCCAATTCATTGGACAACACTAACGTACCCCGCCTAACATTATCTGGCCTCAACGACGACGTTCTCCGCGAGATACTCGATCACCTGTCGGTCTCCGTCACTACAAATTATTCATTCAGCAGACCACCCACCACCCTAAAGAATCTATCCCTAGTGAATCATCGTCTGCGGAATCTCGTTGTCCAACAACTGTTCCAGAAAGTTACAATATGCCTATCTAGAGCACAGCTTCGAGATTCCAAGAATGGTGACTGGGACACCGCTCGCCGCGCCATTACAACCTTGACTAGTAACATCATGGTGCTATCCGTAATCAAGATTCTGAAATTTGATATATACGGCAACGGGGAACCTGAGAGGCCAGTATCAGATCATAACATGCACAATCTTGTTACCTTCCTTACCTGCCTTCCGAATCTCGAGAACTTATCTATTCACATCCCCAAGCCGCACATTCCAGCCTTCCAAGCCGCCTTTAGAACCTTCGACTCCGCTTCACCTTTCATCTTTCCTAATATCAAGACGCTCGTAGCCCACCCTCTCTCTGTCTTCCTGATTGACAGGTGCCCGAATGTGGAGAGAGTAGGACTACAATCCCCCCAATGGTGCCGCACTACCGGCTCATACGACCCCAGCGACGTCGTAGAGGCATTGCGAGGTGACCTCAAATTTATTGGGAAGCGTGCAAAACATATCAAACATTTCGAAGCTCGTTCTCGCTGGATGTTTTACGAGATCTATGATCTCGCGCACGCCTTCCCAAACCTCGAACGCCTGAGTATGCGATCATACGGAGGGGAGTATTGCTCGGGGATAGGCGATATTATGACGGCTTTAGGAGAGAATTTCAAGACGCTGAGGCGATTGGATATTGACGAGGCAGGCAAATTACGATTAGGCTTCCATGGCTGGCCTCCCTGTGGTAACATGTTCATTGGACCTCAAGGGCAGGAAGCCTACGAGGAGTACAGTACAGCAGAAAAGAGGGCTGAGAACAGAGCCGCAGAGCTCGCCTTTCGGAATATTAAGAGTTTGAAAGAGCTGTGGGTCGGCGACTTTGCCGTTGCAAGGAAAGTAGGTGAAGAAGCAGAGATGAAGTGGGAGTGGACGACGAATTATGATATGGTTAGGGGAGAGATATCAAGGTAGGATTTCGGCTTTCACTTCTAACCAATACCTGCTCCAATGATGATACCATTGGCTCAAATGTATTCTAGCAATACCCTCACTTTAGTCTAAGTTCTATCATTTTTTGCTGGATAAAAAATAGAAACACTTGAGTGCGAAAAGGAGGTTAGGCGACAACTGCAAAGACTCAACACGTTTGAAACTCTAGAGCAGACAGAGTAGAATTTGAGGAATCGAGTGATTTGATTCCAATGCTCTTTGCCGTTGAGTCACATGGCTAGCTTAGCGTATCGGCCTTGCTTGGAGCAAACAGTTGCCATGGCCTCATCACTTAAACACTATCAGCTCAACAACTCCCTCAAGGGTCGTCTTTGTCAACATATGTCTCACGTCGTTCTCACTTCCTGCTTCAATTAAATGTTTGTAAGTCGCAAATTGCGTGACACGAAATTCCTTGAATTCCTGATTCTTGGCCCCACCAGCAATCTTTACCTTGCGGGATACGATCGTCGAACTGTTTGTCCTCCGTCTTCACCATCGCCGTAGCTTTTTTATTACTTTTTCCTTTGGCTAGAATCGGCTTACGTCAAGGCGCCGCCACCTCAGGAGCCAAACAACAAACACCTGTCAATAGTCGCATCGCTGGCAAAAGGTTTATAGAACACAGTAATTTCCCTAACAGTCGCATGCCTCCATCTGCTTAAATCCTACGAGTGCTTCAATTCTCTCCACTCGAAGAGCCACCTCATTTTACCCCTCTCAACCAATATCCCTTCTAGATCTACACATCCACTATGCCTTTTCCTTGCCCAGACCTACACGACTCCCTATTCCTCGCCACCATATTCATCCTCTCTATTTCCTTCTTCATGCTGCTGCATATCCGTGTCCACGACACTAATAGCCTCAAATACCTTCACAAGGATCACAAGGGTCCACGTTGGGAGCTCGAAGACCAACGCCGCTGGATGGAAGGCCTGCTTACTTCGACTCTAAACAGGGCACGGATGGACCCCGGGCTTTGGGGTCTCTTTATCGATGAGCTAGATAGAGGTTTTAAGATTATAGAGGAAGAGTTGACGGCTTTGAAGTTTGTGTATGAAGAGATAAAGGGGCACGGGAAAAAGAGTCATTATGGGCCTTGTGATGAAATAGCTTTTTGGAATTGGTCGATTAAGAATTTGCCGTGGATTCTAGGGTATCCAGACTTCAATGAGGAGGAAGAGACAGGGTTTCTGCATAGGCAAAGAGAGTGGCAACAGGGTTTGCGAGGAGGGTCTGGGACGCCGGACCTCGGTGATGGGGATGATAGCATAGGAAAAGAACACGATGATGAGTTGCAAGAAGAGGCAAATAGAAAAGAAAAAGGAAAGGGCAAAGCTGCGGACGCGGAACAAGAGAATGAAGGAAACTCGATGGAGGAGCAGCCAGAAGAGCCTACTCCGCAGGGCCTCAACCCGTTCCAAGCTACTCCAATGTATGGCCTCGATGGACCAACGCTATTCGGAGACAATGATCTACGCTACCGATGCCACGATGACCCCATCACCCCGCCTTCGTTTCGCGATGGACATCCTCCCCGCCGCTATCGCCTTCCCGGCCACTTTAATCTATACACTTCAACTGCATTCGCTCGTTGCGGCTTTATGGGCGGTTATCCAAGCGATCCACGACCGCCAAATGACCGCCAGACTGGATATATACAATCAACCTGGCGAGAGGACCCGCGTCCTGAGTCTGCTCCATTTGCACCAACAGGCTCTGCGCCGTCTGCACTTTCAGGAGCGTTCCATGATGAGGGAAATGGGAGACAGGAGAGTAGTCGACCCTCACATGATTCTCCTCCAGAATTCAAAGAGTCCTTGGATAAGGGGAGTGGTAATTCCGCTGGTAGCGTGCATTCTAGCCCCCGTAAGCAGCTATTGCCTTCACGAAATGATAGTAATAGAGTCTCTAGAGGTCCTCGTGGGTGCAATTCCGGATCTGATCCCCGATCTTTTAGCCAGCAAGGTCATAACAACCCCAGACCGCCATGGAATGGATTTGAAGGGGATGGTTACTCCCGGTCTATGCCAGCGGTACGACCGGATCCCCTAGAGAGCGCTAGTACTCATGAGAACTCTCCCGGCAATAGACGGTTGTACCAGAACGCCAATTACCGGCTACAAAATCACCCCTGCTTCAGAAATCAACCCTCAGAGTGCCCTGAACTAATGCGATTGATACACTTTGGTGAGCTTTTGTTCCCAGCGTCGGGTAGCGAGAAATTTTTCACGGAAAGAAACATAGCGCCTGTAGTAGTGCTAGCTGAACAAGGCCCATGTCGAGCACCATGCCAACCTCCGTTTAAAGCTTCTAACGAATGTCTAGCAGAAGAGCCAGAAGGCGAGCATACAGACCGAAACAGATACAAAACAATCTACACCTTAGAGGAAGTAAACGCACAACCAGAAGACGGCATAGAATTCCTCAACGCGTGCGATGCGGCCGAGGAACGCCGAACTGAAGTGGAGGAAGGTAGGATAACTAGGTACTCGGTGCCAAATCCTAACATCGTGGTTTCGGGGCCACCGAATCTTAGAGAGGGATATGTTGAATATTTGAGTGAAAGCCAGAAAACCATTTTCCTTCATCCCTTGCTTCGTATTCCACTAGTCGAACCATGCCAGTCTGAAAGGGGCGAGAGCTCGGGGAGGGTAAGCAGGGAACTTCAAACAAGAGTACAGAAAGAAGGGAAGCGTCTGTATCCCCTAGGCGTCCATGGCGAGAAATGATATTCCGTCGGATAGAGGGCTGGGTTTCGAAGAATGGTCCTAGACGAACCCCAACCCGTTATGATCCTCCAGTTGAACGAGGTACGAGGTGAAAGACTGCTGCTAAGTCGCGAATTCCGATGTTGCAAATTGATGGTAGAGAGACGGAAGAGGAATTAATTCGTGTTATGGAGAGTGATTGTAGACAGTAATTTGCGAGAGGTGTGCTATGTTTAGTGTCCGAATGATTCGCAGCATGTTACGGATGGTGAGCTTTTAGAATCCATCGCGGTTATTAATAGCACCCACTCTAAGTTTCTTACTCATTTTCTGAGAGTATACAGAGCAAGATAAATTCATCTTGGGATCATAGAAATTCATATTCATATTCATAGTTTCACTCCCCACCAACACCATTTCTACTCACCTTCTTGTTTGGATTTGCTTCTGCTACAGTTTTAAAGCAGGATGCTCTTTAAACCATTACAGTCTGAGATTGGTCGAACTAGATAACAATTGCCACATCCAGAAGACTTTCTGTGTCCCCACCGTCGATAAAATGGTCTTGTTTGTGAACCCGTCATCGCTGATCCACTTCAACGTGTACCTTGGGAATGTGAAAAAAAAACTCCATAAGCGTGACTGCCAATCAGCCACATGTTAATTAATGCCAATCGACAGCACACTAGATCCGTCATCTCATGATGTGTCGTTCATCAACTCATAGTCCAGCACTACTACCAGCTGGCGACAAGACTAAAGCAAGGCAATGAGAATACATATTTATATATATATGTGTGTGTATTTATATCGTATGTATCACGTTCAGTTCCCCTTTAAACGTTTCGACAACCAGAACTTCAACACTCCCATTTTGAAACAGGATCTACCTGCACCATGCTCGTCGAAATTCCAATTCCACGTCCAACCTCCCTTCTCATTTTCTTACTCTTTACCATATCTGTTGCGTTCGGTTTTACAATGTGGCTCCAAAAACAATCCATCGCCTCCCTAGCCCATCGCCTTGACCAGTCTCAGTGCCAAACCGATAATTGCAAGCGATCTCGACCTCGCGACTCCTTCAGAAAACCGAAACCCTGGAACGATCGAGACAAGCAATCTTGCCCTTGCAACTTCCAGTCCAGGAGCCGTTATAGCGGGCAATACAGGCCTTACGACTTCTTCAGGCAGTCTCAGCCCTGGAACAATTATACCAAGCGATCCAATCCTTGCGGCTACTTCGGTCAGCCATATGGTAGACCTAAAGAACCATTATCTGTTTTGCTAAATTTGCCGGCCTTGCGCTGGGGTAAAACAAACGATGCCTTGGGAAACATCGCCCGTTCCTTGGATGTGATTGCCTACCACATGAACGAACGGACGCACCCTGACCTGCAACCATCTCGTAATCCCAGTTCGCCTCGGATGACTCGACCGACGCATTTTAGCGGGGAGCGCCTTAACTCGTACGTGGATCCTACGGCAGGAACAGGGCCTGGCTGGGAACATGTTCCCTATCGTACAGGTCCGCCCAACTTTGAAAACGAAGGCATCAACGACGAAGTAGAACACCAGCCTCGCTCTCCTAGCATAGAAACCCCCCTCTCCGATTCCGGAATTAATTCTCTAGACATTGACTACACGTATTCGGATGACGAAGTCTATGCCGCAACTGAAGCGAGAGCTCCGAGGGATTTCGATCGTGCGCGTAGCATACACGAGGCCAACTTTCCACGGAGACTCCGGTAGGGTAATGGACAGGATGAAAGCTAACGGTGAGAATAACGAGGGGGCTTCTAGCAGTGGAAACTCTCAAAATAATTTAGATCAGCAGGAACGAAAAGGACAGAAGAAACTGCAATAATGGGACGTCGTAGTGAGTCTTTCGTCGGCCGGGAAGTGATGAGATTGAACAGATAGGATAAGTCTATACAAAGGATTAATCTAGACATATCCAGACATGTGGTATTGATGAAGCTTGAGCCATCTGTGGAGCTTATGCCGTAGCCTAAAAGACTTGGTCATATCTAATCTCCCCCAACCCAGAAGATATGTCCTCGCAACAGCTAGAAAGGCATTCATTCACTTGTTGAAACGCAGAACGAGGCTTCCTCTAAAAATTACACTACACCGCCATTATTAGCCCTCCGAATCTTCATCAAGCTAGCTTGCGTGGTGAGACTGCTGCTGTTCCTCCCACACTGAACAAGCAGCACTCATTCGACCAGAGTCCACATGACTTAGTACTAGAAGAACCTGATAGCCATTCAACCACAAGTTGTACATCTGAAAGGGAAAGGCGTTCCAGGGGGGGTGGAGGCTCGCGGTACTGAAGGGGTAAGTAAGATGATGAGAGAGGGAAGGATGTCGAGATCTAGAATTGGGGGATCGGGAGGTGAAGTCTTGGGCTCGAATGATAAGTCAAAAGGAGTGGGATTGCGTGCTCCGTATCTTCCGTTCTCTCGCTGTGTCGTATCGTAGGAGTAAGCTAGTGCGCGCCGGAGGTAGCTCGAGCGGTTGCAAGGATACAATGACTACGTTTTCTCTAGATTCTTCCATAAAACCGTCATCGAACCTCCTAGGCGTATATACTGGAATATTCATTATTTTCTCCAAAGCCTGACCCATTCATCCATTCCCAAGTAAACATTTCCGGTACGTCCTCATCTGGTTGCTTATACCAGTACCCGGTGGCTGCCGAAAGGATGTTCGGATCATTCAAGTTTGGCTGATGTATTGTGGTAGAGTCTCTCATAGATTTCCCGGAGGTGAAAGATAGATAGATACAGATGACCCCAACCAAAGAAAGAGAGACTACAAACAATTCCCCGGACAGGAGGGGAATTTGAAGATGATGGAAGGCGTATTAGGATTGGGGCTCGAGGGTCCCATGGTGTGCCACATAATTTGTTTGATATTAAATTCAAGATGAAATAGAGGGATGTTGTGGTAAGGACGGGTGGGGTTCTGTGGAACATGCTCAGGTGAAGTAGCGCTACCTAAGTCAGGTGATCCACCCAATTATGTCAGCAGAGCAGAGATTCTCTCTATTTCTTATTCAACATTGTCATTAATCGACGTTCCAGCGCCTCCCAGTTACATTCCCATTTCAACGCTTGTGGTAGTTAGTGCCCTGCCTAATTGCCGCCTTGTTGATAACACCAAAATGTTAGATCCCTTGCAAAATGACTTTAAACCAAAATTTTCAAGGGCGACAAGTTCATCATCTAGTCTAGATATAGTATGTAATTCGCCGCAAAAACTATCTGCCTACTCGTCGTCGAATCAGGTAATGCCAAAAGCAGCCTCCACTTGCATTGATCGTGAGACGGAGGAATCAATCTACGGATGGGGCTAAGGAGAGTTCAGATGCCTAACCTAGGGCAACTAAAATGTCCGGTCATGGCACCAACAGGGCGAACGTTTCCTGAGCTTGATTCAGTTAAGCTTGTTTATGCAGATACGCCCGTACGGGGCACTTATGCTTAAACGAACTAACATTCAGTCTCAGCAGCCTCTCTATTCTCACGGTGCACCAATATGTCTTATTTTCATCAGATCTTAATGGCCGTTGATGAACATGATCGGAGCAACCTTGTAGTCTCATCCCGCTTTTACCCCGGTTATACGGCCGAATGATGCGCAATATACGCCTATTTCGTTGCGACTCCCCAGGCGCAGCCTCGCCACAAAGTCAATTTTAACTTCAACTGCGTCATCGCACAAGACATGTTGCGTTTCAAAAGACAAATGCGCAGCAGAAGGATGCACCAGATCCTTCTGGCGGAAATGTCAGGCACAACGTTTCGAGCAAAGTCCCCGGCTAACCAATAGTAAGCATGCATATTCCGCCCCAAATGATCCTTCAGAAAACGGACTGAAAAAGATTGATCGTTGCACCGCAATGCTACTTTGCGCGAAGGAAATGCCGGGCCCGAGAAACCCGAACTCTGGGACAGGAGCTGGTATCTCGCAAGCTGCAACCGTTTCGGAGAAGACGAAGCAGACGACATGGGCAGATGGTGGAGGGTTTGCGTTTGATTGATTCCATAGAGCAATTTCAAGGCTTTTCTCGGAGGACATATGACACCGAGGAATGCTTGGAACGTTAGATATAAGTATCTCTGGGTTGTACAACTTGAGATGATATCTACAGCATCAGAGGTTTTATCAACTAAACCCTTAACTACCCTCGTCTACTGCCCCTTCGATACTCCTTGAAGTTGTACGATAGCTTCCTTTAAGCTTTTCCTATCACCAACGACCTTCCACTCTTAAAATGGCCGTCACACTACCAGAAGAAATCGCCAATGCCCTCATCCGCGGGGCCCTCCTTGGTGCTGGCGAAGCCTTTGGAGCCAATAGTCTCGTAAGCCCTTTCCTCCACCGTGTCTTTAATATCAAGACAACGCTAAGAAACTTCATGAATAGGATCTAGTCCAACCAGAAATCAAGGATACTCTAGCTAAGCCCACGCTGAACAACACTTGTGTCTTCTACATGACGGGAAAGCCGGGTACAGCTGACAGCAGCGTTGTCAACATCAACGGCTGGCTCAAATGTACGTTCACTCTTCTCTCCTCTCCATTTCACTAGAAAACCCTCGCGTATATTGATGGCATGCCTTCAGGCGGCGATCAATCAAGCCTTCTTGGATCCTGGATCAACGTGCCCGCAAACATGGATCTCAAAATGACGGACCCGCGTGTCGGCGACATAACAGTGAACTTCCAACCCAGCAAATTCCCGACCTTTCCCTGGCCGGGGGACGCCATCATCTACAACGCCGCGTGGACCGACTACCAATTCGATAAAGCCGTCGGTATCGACAACTGCATCCGCGACTCCGGACGTGGCGGAATTGTTGGCAAGGATTGCTACAACAAGAACATTGTTGTGAGAGTCTGTACCGAAGGATTCGCCGACGGTTCATACGGTGTCATCAACGACCAGAACATCATTAACCATGGTTGGATATACACGATGGCGTTGCCAGTACAGGGCGTGAATCCCGGGTGTCCGAATGCACCGGCGAAGGTGAAGCGGACGCTAAGTCGGTTTGAAGTACCGGAGTAGAGGGAGTGATGAGGGTGAAGGTGTATATATGGGGCTTGCTGTGTAGGTTTCGGGTGCTGGAATAAGTGTTGCATGGATACAGTTTCTGTACATATATATATAACTATGATAGCTTGCTGAGTAAGTTTCTGTGCCGGAAGAAAAGGAGTTTCGTTAGTGGTCCGACCCCATTTCTCTGGTGTGTACGTCAAGGCTACAGTCCTATGTGATAGACCACAGGGCTATGAGAGAACAAGTTGTGTACTACCGTACCTAAGTACAGATCCATTCTCGAGCTGTTCCGTTCCAGTTCATTCCAGCTCACTCAATACCCAGGCCTAGCTCGGTTAGGGAACAGCTCGCGGTGATGGCTTCCGCCCCCTTGGCGTGCATCCTTGACCTCTCTTTCCCATACACACCCACACACATATATCCTATTCAAAACCCCACCGAACCAACCATCAGAAACCGTCCCATAACGCCCGGGACAATCCTGCCAACAATGTCCGAGCCGACGCCATTTCCACCTCATAAGCACCTCTAGCAAAGAAACCTGCATGCAATCGGTGTACTTTCCACAAGTATGACAAACGAACGAAACCAGAGACGGGAAATGGAGAGGGGGATAAATCTACGAACAACCATCCCGTGCAATGCCCCAGATGCACCCAAAAAGACCAGCTACCAAAGTAAACTCCTAAGAAATGGAATACTGAAATATAGGAGGATGGAGGTCCGTATCGCCATGTAAATGCTCAGAGTTGATCAGTGTGTCATCCCAGTATGCAGAGGCGCCGCAGGCGGAAGGTGAAATGGCCTGGCTACCGACTGTAGCCGTTCGAAGTCGATTGAAAATGTGGTGGGGCTGGTTTCCATATCCGAACCTTCATGTCGTCGCCTGCTGAGGCGAAGACCTTGGGATCTGTGGGGTGCCAAGCTATCGAATTGACACAGCCATTGGGATGAGCATCGAGAGCGTCGACAAGGAGGCCATTCGTCCTCCAAATGTATATCCGAGAGTCTAATTATTGGTCAGCATGGTAGTTAGGAGCAGAGAGGGATGAAAACTTGCCTTCACTTCCACTAACGACAAAGTTTTCGTTTGCCCCACCGAAAGCAGAACGAATAATAAATTGTGTCTGAACTTGGCCTGAGTACCGTTGAATGATCTCTCCAGTGTCGATTTCCATGAGTTTGATCTTGTTTTCGTTCATGCTGATCAGCATATGCTGCGAGTCTTGGCTAATGTTGACTGATGTGAGTTTGATGTCGTCCAATGTCCATTCACAAATCTTCTCGTACGAGGTGAAGTCATAGACAAGGATCCTGTTTTCCAAGAGCACGACAAGTCGCTGGCCATCCGGCGAAATTGCGAGATCGTTGACGCGGAGATTGTCCTCAATCCATCTGTGGACAATATTTCCGTCCGTGTCCCATACAGCTAGTCCGTATTTAGTATCCTGAGAGCCAATGACCACGGTTTTTCCATCTGGAGCCCACCCTGCTGTTGTACATGGGTATGTGAAATCGCTAATGGTAGTAATGCATCGTCCACTCTGAGCAAGGGTCAGCAAAAATACTTGGACTAGTGATTGAACCCAAGCGTCTTACCTTTACATCCCAGATTCGGGCTGAGCATTCTTGTTGCGTACAACACGTGATGATTCTAGTGTCATCAGGGCTCCAAGCGACATGAGTGACCCCCGCATCGTGCTCATTGAGTTTATGTAGAAGCTTATAAGTAGTTGTGTCGTAGATGACGACGGTGCGGTCTTTGCTTGTCGAAGCTAGCTTGGTGCCATCATTCGAGAATTTTAGGTACCAGACTTCATCGCTGTGATGCCGAAGCTCAAGCACGGGTTTCATCGGGAAGTCGTCCCGATCACAAGTGTGATCCACATAGAGTGATGGAGAGGCTGCGGTGTTGTGGTAAAGGCAATTTGAGATCCAACTTTGCTTCACCTCATCTAGAAGAATTGCTAGTCGATGTTCGGGAATCATGACACTGGGCGATATAGATTCTACATGCTGTCAGTGAGCTGTGGCGTGGATGGAAAGGTGTGATTTACTAGAGAGTTCAGAAAGTAAAAGGGTTCGGGAGTCACCCTTTGCTCCATCCCATTGGGCTTGAAACTTCAAATCATCGGCAGATTGACACATCATGAGACTGCAAGCGATTAGTGTCAGATCTCAGGAGTCAAGACGGGGAAGATTGAGCTTGCCTTGAAAGAGCATGCAACCGGCCAACATCTTGGTGAAGTGGGGTCAGCTCCTGCCGGAGAACCATGAGGGCCTTTCCCAGGTCACGCCGCTCCAACAGCTCCAGATACTTCTGTTGCTTCATCCAAAACAGCATTTCGTCTCTATTAGCCCCTTCCGCCAGTGTCAGGCCTCCGGTATGCCGTGCGGTGGAGGTTGATCGTGCAGACTTCGCCCAGGACTTTGCGTAAGTCCCATGTCCATCCAGATCAATTCCTCCCCCATTATCATAAGAATTCGTGCCAAATAATAGCTCCTCGGCCTCCGCCCAATCCCCTTTCAATACCGCACTGCGAAATGACGCTACTGTGGGACCTTCCAGCTGATAGCCACTTTCTTTGCATAATGCCCCCGCAGCGCCGTGGTATCCCAGATCCGTCAGGCTCTGAATTAAAATACGCGTAACTTCCTCCCTGTCATGGCCGAAGAAGGTTGTGGGCACTGACCGTCCGTTAGCTACAGAGCTTCCGTTCGTGTACGAGGCCGTGGAACCGTTGCTCTCGGCCTTGGTATGTGAATCCCCATTCGCTACCTTCCCCAGGCTCCCCCTGTACCCCGGAGAGCGTGTGGAGCCATTTGAAAAGTTCTGTATGGGTGACTGGGACCGTTTTGAAGCGTCGTTGTCAAGGCGCATTGTCCCGTCTGCTCTGCGCCTTCGCTTCGATATATGTCGGGAGGGCCGGCCTCTAGAGGGGTGCGATGCGGAACTCTCTGAGTCGTCTGAACTCTCAGAGAGGCTGTGTCTGCGCTTGGACGTGGTGGCCGGTGCAGAGGAAGTGGCAGGTGTCGCAGATGGCTGGCCGGAGGCGCTTAGGGTAGGTTGCTGGGTAGAGAAAAGGGCAGAGATTTCTGGGGAAGGAGAAGCTGGGGAGTTCGGGATGGCTGGGCGGTCGGAAGTGACTGGGGTGGGGGGATTAGGGGGGATTTCGTCGGCCAGGACGAACGGTGGTGAATGCTAGCCGCAATGACGCGGGTGCAAGTCGGTATAGGCGACACTGCCCTTGACTGGCTCGGATCCCGAATCAGGAGGGAGTCATCAGTGACGAGCGACGAGCAAACGCTGGGGAAGCTGCAGAACAGAGCTGGCAGGAGCGAGGGGGGGGTTGTGGGAAGGAGCAAAGGACGTGGGGCGAGCTCCGTGGTGAAGAGTGGTTGAGGATGTCACGACGGGCGATGGTGAGGGCCGGACATATAGCGGCGGGTCGTGCCTGGGCCACCCGGAGCGTCAGCGTCGTGAGAGTCGTGGACGACGAGCGGTCTGGATCAAGGAGCGTTCAGAGGCTGGAGGTGGTCGGAGCAGTGGATGTTGGGTGGTAGTAGAAGCTCTTAGTCTGCAGAAGCAGCAGTGGCCGGATAGACGTAGGATCCTTGACCAAAAGCGTTAACCTGAATTCGGCAGGGCTAAACTTGGCGAGGCACCAAGAAATGAGAGGAATGGCAGCGCAACACGAAGAATAGTGCGAAGAAAGACGATAGTCTGGTCGTGAAGAGTGGAGTCGCAGCGGTAGTACTGATGCGCGCACTATCTTGATAGGTAGTCTCCCACAGGAAGGTCCAGGCACAGTGTCACGGGATGTTGTGTAATCGCGCTGCGATAAGAAACATCCAGCGTGGAACGCACTAAGCGAAACTTCCGTCACCGGACCTCTCCCGCCTGTTGTTCTTCATAACTTTATACCGCAGATGTCAGCCAGAGGTCACAGTTGAGTGTCCCGGAGGAGCTAGTTTTGTCCCTGTTCGTTGTCATGGAACCGGCGCGGCCATCCAGGCGCTGCCACACGTCACATGAAACAAAGCACCGCCAACCATCGGCAAAGGACTCCTTGACCTGAATTCAGCCTGCGCCAGGCAACGGCACAAAGGGGGAGAAAAATAAACAGCCAGGATGAGCTGCCGGCGATCTTCATTTGTTTCCCGAAGCCTTCCAATCATATTTGATGAGTGGGCTTCGTGAAAGAAAGGGTAATTTGCCTTTCTCAACAAAATCCAATTCTTCAACTCTCCACTTGTGGTGTCGAGACACTACATCTATTTTCTTCTCTCTCTGTTAAACATTAATGCAATATATGTACCAGAAGGTCCCAATTACTCTCTCCCCTGTTCTTCGTATTTTCTTCTCTCACTTGTTCCCTTTGCTCTACAGCAGTTTCAAGGTCGAATTGCTCCCCGCCCCATGCTCCCTAACAATAATTAGTTACCTCACACACTCTTCACGTTATAGGGATACCTACTTAAACCAGTTCAGAAACTGGAACATGCTCGCTTTCGGCGTCCGCTCCAAGCTCGTATAATTCACATACTGCAAGCCAAACCTCACACTCGTCCCAGAGCCCCATTCAAAATTATCAAAGATAGCCCATCCCCAAGCGCCCGTCACATTGACTTTATCATAGTGAATCGACGCCAAGATGCTATCAAGGTAGCTCTGAAAATAGTCTGCCCTTCGCAGGTCCCAAAGGATTTGGTTCATATTGCTAAGTTGCGCCTCGAATGGTTCTGCAAAGCCAAATTCGGTGACAACGATGTCGGGGATCGACGGGAAGAGCACAGTTGTGAGATGTTTGAGGAATTTGCGGATGCCGGTTGGCGTGTCGTAGAGCCAGCTCATTGCCGGGTCAGCAGCTGGGCCTAGGGGGAAGCCATTCGATGCGGTTGACGCGCTGCCAGCGCAATCCGGGAACCCTGGGTGCGAGCGATTTGAAACACAAGCTTCGATTCCTCCGTCGACTTCGAACGCAGTGAACGACGAGTATCTGGATATCCCGCATTAGCCACTGCCCATCTGTCTAGTAATGTCTACACTTACCCATCAATAGCATAGAAATCACAAGATCCTTTAATCATCGTTTTCTCCTCCTGCGTCAACGTAGGAAGCAGATCTCCAAGCGTATCTTTTAGACTCTTCGGATAATCGCCATCTGTCCATGGCCCACCAAACCAACCCACCGCGAAATCAAAATTCCTCTGTCTCGCAACCTCATCCTCGGGTTTCGTACTATTCGCCTCATAATAATTACCCGAATTCTTAAACGTAATCCTGCCCTTACCTTTGAACTCCTCGTGGTACCATTTCGCCACCCTAGCATGCGCCAGCAAACTATAGTGTCCGCACAAGAAACGGGACTTTACCGGACTCGTAGAATTGAAGGTTGGATAGTACTTTCCAGCGGGATAGTACGAGAACTGCCAGTTGCAGTATTGGGGTTCGTTGATGGTGAACCATTCATCGACGTACGCGTCATAGCGGGAGATAATGAATTTGGCGTAGTTGAAGAAGTCGTCAACGATTTGCGGGGACGACCAGGCGCCGTATTCGTTGTAGAGGGCGAGGGGTGTGTCCCAGTGAAAGAGAGTTACTGCAGGTGTGATACCGTTGGCATGGAGTTCGGCGATCACATCGTCGTAATGCTTAACCCCGGCTTCGTTGATAGGCCCTTTGCCGAAAGGGAAGATGCGTGGCCAGGAGATGGAAGGACTGAATGCTAGAGGTACTGTTAGCGTTTATTATTCCCGAAATTTGCTCATTCATTTGTTCCTTGTCCTAAACAAACTTTGCCGTCGGATCTCTTCTCTCCTCTCCCTTCAGATTAAGGTCGGATACTTACCCTTAATCCCCAACCCTTTCAACCTTGCAAAATCCTGCTTATACAACCAATAGTGGCTCCCAACCACATCCCCCGTCGTATTATCTGACACAAAATTCGGCACCCGATGGCTCAGCAAGTCCCAAATACTCGGCCCTTTACCCTCATCTTTCGCTGCGCCTTCAATCTGATACGCTGAGCTAGCTAACCCCCATTTGAACCCTTCCGGCAGCTTAAGGTTTGCGAGAGAGGGGTCTTTAGAAGCCACTAAGGGGTGGAAATTTGAAGCGAGGGGTTGCGCGTAAGAAGTGGGTTCTGGGGTAGGTTTAATGGTAGTGGTGACGGGGCCAATGGAAACGGGGCCGATGAAGTTCCAGAGCAGGGCGAGGGCGGAGTTGGAGAAGTCGGTTTGGGGAGTCGCGGACGTGGGTTGAGCGGAGGCGTTGAAGGTTGCGGAAGTGTAGCCTGAGGGTACGGCGAATGACAATGTACTGGTGTTTGCAAATTGTGCGGTGGTAAGGGATGGGAGAGAAAGGAAGAGAGAGAAAAAGACTGGGAGCAATTGCCACTGTAATTGACCCATCTCAGGCAATTTCATACCGGAAATGAAAAGGGAGAGATTCAAGGAACCAGACGCTGAAGAAGAGACTGGGATAAAAAATACCTATGAGGATCTCTGAGAAATTTATAGTCCGTTACTTCGCTCGCCGTACGTGTTACCTTGCCGCGATCACATCACTTCAATCCACCAACCCAGGAATATCATCTAGGTTTGCATCAAACGTCCCTCTACCTCACACTAGCCTCGCACCGACCCTGTGGCTCACCCTCGGGAATAGGCAAATGGGCATATTAACCCAGGTTCTTCATAGGGCGAGGTGGGTAGGCTAACATGATCTTCGCTCGAGCACCGGGCGCGAGGAAATATAGTGCCTGAAAGAAGTTTTCGATTCGGAAGATGGTTCAATCTGAGAGCACGATGGACGTTAATTCACTGCTTGGCGGAGTTGAGGGAGATCTTGCTCCGTGATGGATGGGGATTAGTGGGAGGGGATGGGGTTTGATTGGTGGGCCTGGAGCTTTCTAGAAGCTTGGGCCACGTGGGGAGAGCTGGAGCTAAGGTGCGAAGTTGTTGGACGAAGAGTAAGTGTAGCTTGAGCATCTAGTTCAACGAGAGTTGGGGCGTAGTTTTGGAGTTTGGAAAATGTATTGTAGCATGCTCGCCTAGGCTAGCATGTGGAGTTGGCTTTTTAGAATTTTAGGCTGGGTCGCGTCCCGCACTTCCGATTCTACCTCACGCCTCATCTGCCCGTCAATCCCTTCATGCAGGTGCCTGACCAGGTGTTCAGCCATGCGCACATGGCCAACTGTTCAGCGGATCTTTGTCTGCTAGTCTTTCCGTGTCCAATATACAACCTCCCGAAGATTCTGGGTTCAATTTTTGAACAAGTCTTTCACACTCTTCTGCATCACTAAGCCACACGCGACGAAATGGCATCCTAATGCATCAGCCTTGTATAGCTGTAGACTTGTATGGCTTCCTGATAACGCCTTGCTCGCCAACCCTTGTCCTTTGAACTCGAACAATGAATTGAGAGGCGTTCGATAAAACCACAGCGTCTGGAAGGTTTCAGCCCTGCGCCTCAACATGGAGGTGACAGGCTGCCTTTTCGACTATTTCATATATCATGTCATGCGACCAAACTCTCAAGATTGCGTTCGCCTTCTCTGTCTTCCATATTTCAGGAGTTCTTTCTTTGCTTCGTCATGTGCTTCATCTGGAGAAGGATGTCGCAAGTAGTGCTAATCGCAGGAGCGTTTTACATAAGCCCAACGGCGGGCATGCTATGGGGCCAGTGCTTAAAGGATGTCCAAGATCGATCCCTCAACGATGAGCAGTTTATTTTTGACCGAGCCTTGTTCCATAATGGTTCTACTCCCGAAAATCCTATCCTAACTCTTCGCGGTTGTAAATCGCTGTGTGGCGGACCTGGTCTCCATATCTACCCCGATTGGGGAAGCATGGTACTAAAACCCCGGCACAAATACTAAACAAGCCCAGTATTGCCCCAAATAAAGACCATTTGCTAACTTTTTGGCAGTAAGCATGCCTTTTGCTCTTTGTCTCCCAACATTTCTCTATGCCTTCGCTGAAGATCCACATGTGTGCTTTCCTTTATTTTAACAACAAGCTAATGATATTCCCACCTTTAGCATCAATTCATGGGTGCTGCCGGCACTCGTAAGTCAACAAGCCGAAAGCAAGACACTGTCTGGATTATAAAGCTGATTAAATCCTCCTTTCAAGGTTATACTCACGCAAAAAGCTGTGCGCGAAGGCAACGGCTTGTGGGATACGATTCATATTCTCGCCAATCCGATACACTGGTTTATCGAAATGCTACGAATGATCGAGCACGCGCGGCGGTTTCGGCGGTTAGCAAGCGACAGCTTCATCCCGGGACTAGAAGATGGCTATAGGCAAGGGCAAGGTAGACTGAAGTTCCTAACTAGGCTCAAGAATTACGAAAGCCAATGCGTTCAGCTATACACATGGAAAAATGTAAAAGAAGATGATTACGAGCGCAAGATTAGGATTAAAGGGACTTACCTCCAAGCATTGAAGACCGCCAGTGGGATCAGTGTGGCTCAAACCGAATACCTTCACCGAGAGATCTTACAACCGTTACTTAAGACGCGTAAGCAAAATACCTGGGAGATCGAACACGAGATTGCCGAAGACATTGCTACTAGCAGATCTGGTCGACTACTACTCGCTGTGATTGCGATTACCCTCTACATCTGGCAAGTAGTGTCCTCGTTCGTCCAGGTCATCGGCGGATCCTGGACAACTGTGCCTGGAGGTCGGATCGGACTAGCAATGTTCTGGCAATGGATGGTTGCCGCTGTCCTCATCAGCAATTTTGTGGGCAGTTTTCCGACAGAAGACTACTGCAAAAGAATTGTTAAGAAAGTGTACGGAAGAGCCGGGGTAGATTTTGATGAAGAGATCAAAAGAATAACAAGCTTTCCACCGAACCACGGAGAAAGACGGTTTTCACGTCGGTGGAGGCGCCGAGTGATGCTCGTTCTCGTCACGCTAGCTATTCTCCCTGTCCTAAGCTCTATAGTCGGCAGCCTGGCAGTACTTTGGTATCTTCCACCTAAGGGCCCCAATTGTCGGTTTTTTCTCCTCGTCTCTATCAGCTTCGTCTACATCGTGAACGCAGTTCTTACTTCTCTCCTTCTTTTGGGCCAGTGGACAACCCGGATTAAGGACCTCCTTATAGCTCTTACTAGCACTATCCTCATCATACTCTCTGCATGCGGCCTTTTCAACACATGCGCATGCTGGAGTGGCGTTTATCACCTCGGTCCTGAGAAAGCCACTGTATACCTGAACAGCGAGGAAGTCTTCGCGCCGTTACTAAGAAAAGTGTATCCGGCAATATTCGTCACGTGCTTCGTCTTCCAGTTCATCTCCTTTGAGTTCATGAGGTGGTTTGGCTGCGAGGGGATGAGTATATTGCGATGGAGCAAACGCACGAAGAAACGAAAGACCGAGAGCCCTGAGAGTCGAGGGTTACTCGACCCGTGTGCTTTAAGAGGGCAAGAAATGGAATTGATGATTTATCGAGCTGGGTATGGAGAACCAACTCTAAGGAATGACAGCGCAACAGGATCGGTCCAGATTACTCCTCCTCGTCGAGGGCGTACATATTGAAGGATAACTAGCGAAGTGCATATATAAGATATGGTCTTAGCATAGGTCGTACCTCCAAGTATTCAACAACTGCATGGCGTTGCACGCCCACCTACAGCAAAGCCGACTCTTGCTAGTGCATCTCGGTTTTTTGCAGGTTGTTTTAGGAGGTCAGCAGAACATGGAGGCTTCTTTGCAGTATGTCCAGCTCTTGTTCCAGCTTATTCTTTTGCCTCTCAACATGGGCTTCAGCCCGCACAAGACGCTTCAAATCTTTGAGTTCTAAATTTGCCTCCGGGACGATTTCCTCGATGTGATCCGTGAAATGGCGTCCAACGACTTGAGTTATTACATTCATTAAGAAGTTCTCTCGGATGATCTACTCAAAATTTCAGTCGGTCAGGATCTCAGCGGGTGACGCGAACCTTCTTACATCATAATGAATCCAGGCGGCAATGGCGTAGTCTCTAGCAGTATTTCGGATACACTGCTCTTGGGTATGAATCCCGATATCTTCGGCATATGTACTTCCATCATGACAGCGATCGTCGTCGGTGCTATCAGGGATCTTATTTAGTGCTGCCCTCGCATTCGCCGCTCGTGCGTTTTCTCTGTATCTGCGCCGCTCGCTTTCAAATCGTCTGATGAAATTCACAGGGTGACATTTACGCTCTTCCTCCAGAGTACTAAGCCCTTCCAAAGCTACGATCTTAACATTATCGATCCGAGGAACGAGTAATTCCATATATCGACCTGCAACTCGCTTCGAATTACCAAAGCCGGATGATTTCGCAGGTTTAGCGAAGGATAGTGGCACGGCTTGGTGGAAGTAGCGACAGCAATGGTCATAAACTTCTTCCACATATTGCTCCGCTATCACCTTCCAGTTTCGGGACAGATTCCAAAAGACTTCACTGATCACGCCATGACGATAATCTCCCGGCAGTTCCTGGCCTCGTGTGTTCCGGATGATATATGCGACATAGTCGATTTCTTCATCTTCACTCCTGAATGTTCTCTGTGTAAGTCCATCAATCTGCAGCTTTGGCTGATGCCATGACTGTAAGTCGTGATTTGGATCCGGGGGAGAGACCAAGACGCAGCAGTTCCATGTATGACCGAATTTCATCAGCCGGTCACGGAAGACCTCGGTGTCTCCCACTATTCGGGAACGTAATCTAATAGGATCCGTCTCAGGGAATTGGAGGATATCAGAGTTCCAGATGCCGCGAGCATGATCTCTTGCATTGTATTTCAACCGCTCTACTGCCGCTTGAAACCTCGCTCTGAGTTCTTTATCCTCAAAGACCTCGCACCCTAGCGCGTCGATGTCCATCTTCAATTCTCTCGTCCTCGATTTGATATTATCCCGGATATGTGGGAGTTGGCTCTTGGCCACGCTGAATAGAACCTTACGAAGCCGCTCACCAAGCCTTTTCGCACCTCGAAACTGCGAAGGAACATGCTTCCATTTGGCATTATTTTCAAACCATTTTTGCTCAAGTTCGTCCCTGCTGTGCTGCTCCCCTTCTGGATCATTCTTTAACACATGCCACTGGATCTTCAACTCCTTCAACTCGTCCGGAATTTGGCCATTGCAAAGGAGATCCACGTAGAGGTTCCGGCTGTTTCCGACATCTGGATGAGTTATGGCCGCTATTGTTCTTCGACCGTCCGGGTCGTATCTCCTGCAGAGGTTCAAAACGCCTCCGTTGCTGTAGTCATCTACTGCCCTGATTACTGCCAGGATCGTCGAGTTCTCTTTTTTTATTTCCTCGACGGTAGCATCTTTGACCATGTTTAAAACCTCATCTCCCCCGCCAGAAAAGTCGATCAGACCCGGCAAGTCCAGCAGCTGCAACGGTTTCTGTTCCGGACCAGAAATTGTAATGCACAATCGATCCCTTGCGAACTTCGCTTTTGCTAGATCACCCTTGAAGATCCGCTCGGTGGCTTCTTTCATGACAAGTGGAAGTCTGCTGTCTGCCTCTGAGGCTGGAAATCGGTGCATAAACTGGAGAAGATCTTTCTTTTCATCGGACGTCCGGCCGACAGGAAGGATCGTTGCTGTAACGCACTCTTCCTGGTTCTTTTTCAGCGTAACCACAGTAATGTACTTTGTACAGGAACCCTGGCCAACCGGAAAAGGAATCCCTGAAAGAGCCTGAAGCGTCGAGCTTTTCCCCGCCGACTGATCTCCACAAACCACTATCTGAGGGAGAGGATACTTCTTTTCAAGGTCGCGAATACCAATTTGTAATTGTCGCAATTGATCAATAGTATCGAGGATCTTTGCGTCCTCCCCATCGTCAGAGTTCATGAGTGAATAGCGATAACCAGATACCGGCGGTGGGTCACTGAAACCATTGACAGGAAGCTCAGCAGGCCCATTAGATTCAGTGGGGTTGGCCATGTCGACTGTGACACTAAGCTAGTGTAAAGAACAAATCTTGGAAGTTGTGGGAGACGGGGATGATTCTGCTAGCTTACATTAAGAGGCATTGCCGTCTGGAATTCTTACTGGCAACCGTGGACCTTCGGAAAACTTGGATCAGAGGAGGCTGAGAGTGGATGTTCTCGGCCCCACGAGGCTGAAGACTGCATGCTTCAGCAGCTTGCCGAATTTGGAAACTTGCAGCCTGAGTGGCACTCGTGTGATGAATGGGCGGGCTGAAATCAGGCCAGAGCCGATACATAACCCTTGCAGGAAGCAATTGCATGTGCTCCTCTCGTCTTGTCTCATTCGATATGTATCAGAAAAGGCTTGCTCAGTCACATTCGGAAGACCGAAATTCTGCCTCACGGCCAGTAAAAATGGTGGAATATTCGGCTTGACTTGGATTTTAATGTTGCCTAGGAATCCGTTCACCGATTAACACGGTTTCTGCCCAGTTTCCACTCTATTGGTGGCGTCAGTAGAAACGGATGCATCTGATTACTTAACGTGACAGACGGGAGGATGGTAATTTAGGGCCGGCGTTTACAGGCCCTTTGCATCCTCCTTATTTCTGGTAAGAGATCAGAGTGATCCAATCCGCCCTGCGAGTGTTCCCGAGTAGGTGCGAAGATGTTGTATTTTGGCAGTGAAGGCCAGTGCGCAAATCGAGCGTTCCAAATCCAGAGCCGCATTTAGCAAATCGAAAGACTGTTACGGTATTCTTGACCGGTCGAAGGCGTATCCCATATTTCCGGTTAAGATACATGAGCTATTGAAGTGGCTTGCAAACGTCACATGCGGCCTAACTGCATCCAAGAACAAGGGGAGGCGAAAGTTCCGAGCTAACTCACCGATGCTTACGGAAATACATAGAAAGGTAAAATAATTCCTGATCCGCCAGCCGCATGCTCTATCAAACCTTACCCGACCTTCGCATAACAGCAGCATCAATATGATTGAACCGATATCGATTACAGCTTGTGTCCTCGGGGGCGTCAATGCTTTACAGGCTGCCAAGAAGCTTCTGGACGAGTACAAAGAGAAAAGAAGGATTAAGAAATCTCTCTCAGAGGCTGCTTCGGAGGTCAGTCGCGCTCCTCGAGCAATATGCTACCAATACAACTATATGATTTCAGTGCTAGGAAGCCCGCCGAAAGTGGGCGGTAAGCTTCCCAATCTCGCATAAAGGATTCAATATACTAATTCTCTCGAAGGATTGCAATTACAGTCGCTTAGGGATATGTGGGAAATATTCGAAGCTGATCGAAGAAATGTAGAAAACCTGATTTTTTCTCTTCCCTCACTCGAGACAGATGAAGAGCCACCGATGGAAATGCAGAGGCTCTTAGAGAATGCCAAGGAAATAGAGACGACAACGAAATCTCTGATAGAGAAGCACGCCCTGATATCCCACAACGATGGATTCGTTGTTAAGGGGAAATTACCAGATGCCATTAGGCCAAGAGACTTCTGCTACGGTGCCCTCCTCCTCCAGTCAGACAGGGACAAGTCAATCCGTGACATTGCGGTTCGTGTGCCGGGATTGAACGAGCGAGATTTTATTTGCAAGCACTGCAACCTGCGCGTCGGATCATACGGGGCTTTACGCGCCTTCGACGACGAAATAAGCCTCTCTAGAAATCTTCTGCCCCAATCGCACTTAACCGTATGCGCTTCTCTAAGGGAGCTATCGGCTTTCTACAAATGCTTAGCTTGTTTTAAACGCAACAAACAAGTTGATTTCGCAACCGCAGAGGGCTACGAAAAACATATTGTGACTGAGCATCCGAAGCTGACAGATTTTCATATTCCTCAGGAAACTGAGACTAAATTAAGCGCTCAGCGGGAGCTCGAGAATCTTCGCCGCAGGCCCAATACCATCACCACCCCATCAACGTCGGAACCTCGAAAGTCCTCGGTAGTGCTAGACTCCCCTGTGAGTGAAGTAAGCACTGAACAAGGTTGGAAACCCCTGCAAGGCGCTGCGGCCGACAGCGGAATCATACAATCTACCCCAAGATTCGCAAGCCACACTGCCGTAGAAGAGGAAAGGAACCAGAATCCGGGTGGTGTTGAAGAAGTCTCGGCTTCTCAAAGCTCTTACTTTTCTCTCACAGGTAGCAATACCTTTGAACGCGATTTCTATTCGAGGTCTTCAGAACAGGATTCATTTCCGAGCCCTATCATACCGGCCCTTCAGACAAATGCCATAACTACATCGTCCGAAACCAAAGAAACCACCCCCGTCACAACTGGAATGATGCACGATCCCGGCCCGCCACGCGAACTCGATGGCCAAGAAGTCTTACCACCTTACCAACCTGCTGAATGGAGCCTTCACGAGATGCCAGACAATAGCACCCAAAACCTCGCCAGCTCATCAAGGCCATCCACTGACCCTTTCGTAGCGCCAGCCCCACCAGTTGAGCTATCAGCTCAGCAACCGCCTCCATTGCGAGCACCTCCGCCACCACCGCCGAAACCTGGAAGTCCCTACGCTCAGAATCAGGAGGCCATACTGGTGCCCGGCATGCAGAGGATCCAACGGAAACCGATGCAGAGCCGCAATGTAACCCCAAATCATTCTGCGGCGCATTCTCCTCGCTCACATAGCCCGTCGGTGTTTCCGCCGACACAAGAAAATGCCCAATCGGGGATATTGGGTGAGTCGGGAACGACGCATCAGTTGAGGGGACTGCCAGGGGCCTTTACATCTTGAATATGTAGACTACTTTGGCTATAAGCCGTCATCCAAAGAGAGACCGAATAAAACGAACCAGAATTCTTCCTTGTAGCAATGAACCCGACTCGTATTTTGCGTGGGATCGTCATCGAATGTGTACTAAATCTCGGCGGATCTTCCCCTTTGAATCATAGTCCTCACACAATTTGTGTGATTCGCCTGTATCTATTGACCCCGGCCTGCCTTGTCTTTATCTCATGCATTTTCATTTTGCGGGGAATTTGCTGCTCAGCCGAACTGTCACTCTCAATACACAGTTGCGCTCGACCATCTTTCATAGTAAATGAATAAATATAACGCCCAGACTAGGTCCACTCGGGTTTTACATCGCAGCTACTAATACTTGCTTGATTTATGTAATACCCTGACAATTTACTAGTCCATCTTAACTAAAGTGAGGAATATACTTACTCCAGTCCACGGTAGTATAGATACTTGGTGGTTGAGACCGGAAAGTAATGAAAAGTGCAACTATGAGATACAAGCGCATTGTGCCATACACGGCTATGATACAATATTCAAGGTTACCGATCTCGCGACCGTTGTTCTCCCTTTCTTGACGATTAGTCCTCCCTAACCTTTTAAGGAGAGGATACACATAGGAGTCATTGATGGATGACAGTGGCCCCTGGGGGAGAGATATAAGAAGCAGAAATAGGAGCACTGTTGGCATGACTGTAGATGCGACCGCCGCCACCCTCCACATAATGGTTTCAACCCGGGTGGGGAAAGCAAAATTCCAAGCTATGATATGCACTGCTCCAAAAAGGCTTCCGGCCGCCATAGAAATACGCATACTATGCTTATGGTGGCCAGCAAAGTAATGAAGTGTTTTTATTCTGCCCTTTTCCTCGAGGGCCTTAATAACACTGGTTTGATATTCGTCCGAGATTTCGATGTCGGACTTCCACCCTTTATTAACTTGGCTTCGCAGGGTCTGAAAGTCCAGTGCAGGTGCTTCCAGGATGGTTATCGTCTCGTTGACCTGTTGCGGTTTACTACATTGAAGCATGAGTAAGCTATGTCCTTGGTGGGTTGGACGTGTGGGCTCGTATACGTACGAAAACCATGTCACATAAGTTACGAGCGAACAACCAACAAAGCCGACGGTAGCAAGCTCAAGCGGTGTGATTGGAAGGTTTTGTTGCACTCGTGCGCAGCATTGTATTACTAACCAAAGTGCCTGGAAGCACGCAGTGGCCTTAACGAGTATATCCGCTTTGCTCCTGTCGTCGATATCCCTCTTCGTGACTGGCTTCGGGCTGCCACTATCTTTTAAATTCATAATACCGCGGCCGCTGACACGGATAACCAGAGGTGGATTGTTTCGGCTTTTAACCACAAATCCTCCCATTAGCGCAAAGAAGCCGTGGGTGGTGGTCCAGTCTTGAGATATTTCGTTCTTAAATTCATCCACAGATTCATTGGCGAGTAGGTATTCGCCAATTGCAGACCCAATGAGCATCTCCGGAGCAATAACAGTGAATGCCATGAGCCACACCTTACGAATTGAAATCCATTGCCATTTCTCATCGCGCCCAGGGACCATTGGATGCTGGATCGTCCATGTGCAGATGAATATTGTGAATAGACAGGACCACAGAATGTCCAGTGTGCCGCGACCGTATGGCCGATTCGGTTTTGAGACCCAACCTAGCCAATCTGGGGGAGTGGTAGTCTTGGTGAACGAGGGAGACGGCGATACTTGAGTTGTCATATCATATGACTGGGGGAGTAAAGTTAGGTCTTAGGACAACTTCGGGGTTTTTGGGAGGGGTACCGCTGCGTACAACGAACTCTTTAAGGTTTCTCTTTTAACTTTGATATTGCTTTTGGCAATTTTCTCTCGGCAACTCCCGGCAAGCTCCACTCCAAGATTCCTTGTCAACTCTCTAGTATTAAACACAAACTACGAGCACCGCAAGCCTTCATCAGAGGTGGATGGAGTAAGGAAAGGGTCAACTTAAGCCGCTTCTACGCTCGTCTTCGGTATATACCGTGCCGTGGACTATTTGGCTCCGTGTCCCGGAGAGTTGTTTCATCATGGATTACTGGTGCGCCGGAAAACCTCTCTATTAACCAAACCGAGTGGCGCATTTTAAAGTTCGGTGTCCTTAGCCGCATATCTGATGGGGCTGAACCCGTGCCCGGTAGCTCACAATTCCTACCCAAACATACCAAACAACATCTCCGGCTGTTCAGCATTGTTATCCATGTTTGAGCAGAACTCCGAGTTCTCCAACAGGAAATCCTGGAAAAGGTCGCGATACCCTTGGTTCCCCCACTCATCAAGCCGCTCCCAAGCTTGCATGCCATCAGGAAAGGCTCCCACACCCAACCCAGTCTCTACATCACTGCTCCCTGTCACCGCTGCCCCAACATCTACATGGTTCGGTATCGATCCTGTTTCCCGCTGAGATGCACTCCGCTCCTGCACTGATCCACTCAAATCCAAGCCTGCCCTCTCGAACATGCCCCTGATAATCATGATCGGTTTCTTGAGCCCAGAGTTAGCACCTCGTTGCTGCTCTTTCAGTGCATCGAGGAAGAACTTAATAACAGATAGGCGCGAGTGATGGTCCGTCCAGTGAAGCAATGGGATAACAGTTGCAGCAGAGAAAAGAGCGTATGAAAAGAGATATGGAGCACGGCGGAGGGTGAAGGAGGCGCGATAGGATTGTGCGAGAGAGTAAATATGCAGTGCGGCAGATACGCAGCGTTGTCGGATCTCGGGCTGCGAAGGTGACTCGATTTTGCGAAGGTGACCTTCCGGGAGGAAGGGTCGATATAAAAGAATATGGAGTGTGTGATAAGTTGTACTATTGTATGTGATGTCAGGCATATCTCTTATATTAACAGTGCCAGCTTACTGTGGATAGAATCTATGTGGCGGGGGTGTTAAGTCCTTTTCTGGATCATATTGAAGGTGGGCAGGCAGACTGCTCGACCATTCATCTAGCATTTTCTGTACTTCGTGAACTTGTTTCCATGCTGCCTCAGGCGACGAAAACTCCAGCCCTGGTTTGTAGAATTTGTCAATAATGTCAGAAGTAATATCCGCGAGCACGAGCAAGCTGTTTCTATTTGAGACATTGTACTTGGGTAATGGTGTGTATACTGGTATCGATGACGGTCGAAACGAATCCAGGCAGGGAGACCACAAATCCATCTCATCATATGCATCCAGAATCTCCCTATCCGGCTCAAACCCTTGGATAACGTGGAGGGAAGGGGGCCTTCCGAAGTAGAGCGAGTTGAACCGATCGTTCATATACGAACCCCAGAAGACCCGCCTCTGCAGTTCCGAGTCGATGGCTGTTTGGGAGTATTCAGGTTCCTTTGCCAGAAGACTTGATGTTTGAACCTTGGCTGGATTAATATCGAGCCCCAAATCAGATATCATTCGGTACGAGATACCGCAGTATAGCCACCCCAGTGTCTGATAGCCCCTTGTAAGTAGAGACGAGCCCATAACGATGAACGCGCTTATACTGGCAATGCTTGAGGTCCTCATTGAGGAAGGTAGCAGTTCCTCAAAACGTCGGAAAAAGCGACTACCAAGTGTCTGCGGATCTCCGGGCACATCCATCAAGTCTTCCCGGCCGCTCTGCAATGCCCCATTGTGCAGCATTGCATGTAAGAGAAGTTTGTTTGAATAAGGGCCGCCTGTTGCAAGACTCTCCATCACGGCTGGCCGATATACGCACAAGTATGTGTTGTACTGATGGTTCCAGTACAAGTTCAACAGATGGTTGGCTGTTTGGGGATCAACGCCGTCCAGATCCCACTTGGCCTGCCACGAGGACAGCTGCTCCAGCTGTAGTTGTCGAGCAGTGTTTGCAAAGAGCTCAAGCCGCCATTGATCTATTTTTTTCTTTTTCTCCTCTTCGAGGTTGAAATTGGAGGAGACTGCGACGTGTGGGCCATATGATCTTGTGCTCATGACTTCCGAATTTGAAGTTCGTGTTAAGGAAGATGGCGATGAAATATCCCGAAATGCTGAGGTTGGGCCGTGAATAGAGAATCCAACTTCGCTTCGCACAATAGTGTGCATTTCTGCTACGTGAACGACCTGGCTGTTTCTCCGTGCTGCACTTGTGCCGTTGCCATGATGGTTCTGGAGCGGACTCCTACTCCTCTGTAGTTGAGCTGTGGACGATGGACTCACTTCGGGGCTGCTTGCGATAGAAGCTATCTGCTGCCCAGTAAGAGATGCCTCTTGACGTTCAGGTTGTCCAGATAGCCGGCCAACTATGGCTTCCAAGCTAGCCATCTTGTCGCGCATGGCCTGGACAGTCTGCCGTGACACGACATGACTCTGGCGGCGGTCATTCCCATAGATACATTGGCGATTCTGCGTCCGACAGAGGATGCAGACCGGGCGTTGGCCGTCACATTTGATCTGTTCAAATCTTAGTTGGGTTATGAGCAAAAGCGGAAATACTTGAAGGGTGGTCAAAATTTTGAGTTGGGAATCTGATGGTTACCTTTCGCCCGCGACACGACTCGCATGCCTTACATTTGCGGGTTGTGCGGGGGTTCATCACCGTGCGTGACTTTAGGGTGCAGCCAGGCATGTTGAAGCCTGCGGAGATGCGGATATATACCACCATTTAAAGTCAACCTTAGAACCAATACCCGGCACGTGATCTACGATTCCCCGCTGGCCCCGCACGCTACCATTTGGTTAGCGCAAGACCTCGGAGTTGCTTTTGCGCTAGCATCACTCTACATTTAAGTCACAAACTGATTTTCTCGTAGGCACAATAAATGCATTCACGACTGAGCCGCTCTTCCTTCCATCCCGTCAACCATGTAAATGTACTATGATCCCTTCATCCGAAAACTCTGCCAGAAGGTAGTTTTCAGGGTGTGTACCTAAATTCCGGGGAACCATGAATAACCCTAAGCCCCTGGTCTGCCTGCTTATTGCATCTCCTTAAGTAGAAGATGAGGATAGTACTGATGATAGCAACGAGGACAACGCAGCTTCGAGTCCCAAATTAGTATATATTCCCAAACGGGACTGGGTTACTTACACAAGAACTGCAATAATTCCTGGGATGTAGTTTGGTGCATCCTGAGTCCTATACACCAAGCTACCCGAAATTCCACCAATTGCTCCCAACCCAGTCATGAGAGCTGAGCAAAAGCTACGTTGCCATTGCCCTCTAATGTTGCTCGCCTACTTGATATAAATACAGAGTTTAGCCAAAGAGATGCGGTGCAGCTTACCTGGTATGCTATAAGCATTGGGATATTCGTGTTAATGGCCGCCACGGCAAAGAAGACACCAACGTATCGCACCCATGGATTTGTTGCAAATCCAGCCATCGGAAGGCCAATGATGGCAACCGCACAATTTAGGATAAGCACTGGGGCTCTCGTGCGATGACGGTCCGCAAACCATGCGCAACCGATCATCATCAATCCACTAGCGGCATATGGAGGTGCAATCAGGCACTGAGAAGCTGCGAGACTAAATTTCAAGGAGTCTCTTAAGATGATCGGAAGATAAACTTTTTACCGCGTTAATTCCACAACGAAGAATAGGAATAGATTACTACTAACAAGTATAAGCGTAAGATGCTGTGCATGTGCAGCTATCATAATCGTCAGTGAAGAGACCCATGTCTTTAGTGACAAAAAAGACCGTACTCACAACTGCATGAAGCCGAATGCCCAGATCTCCGGTAGCTTGGCAGGAGCCAGATAGAGAGACCACGCAAATTCCTCAGCTTGGTAGTCCCCTCTATCAGCTGTGAGGCGATCTATTATAACCTGGCACTCGTCCTGCTTGAGGAAGTGAAATGATGGTTTCTTGATTTCTTGGTCCGGGAACTTGGGAAGGGAAAACCATCCCGCAATGCCAACCAGGAGTGTAATCTGTTCAATATCAGGAACCGATTTAGCCACATCGAAAGTCACTCACAATTCCTTCCATGATAAATATCCTGGGAGGGTTATGTCAGTTTAATGGTTTGTATCTATCTCACTGGAGTGGTTGACATACCATTCCCAGCCTTTCACACCGTTAAGTCCATCCATTTGCATGAACCCGTACGAGAGGACCCCAGAGAATGAAGATACCAGGACGCCGATAAAGTAGTAGACTGAAAATCGTTTTGCAAGTTCAACTTCCTAATTAGTACCTTTCATAACCAGGACATGCAGAGCCACGACTTACATCGAGTGAACCAGGTTTGAAGGAGGTAAACACCCCCTCCAAAGAAACCACTTTCGAGAACCCCCAAGACTAATCTCAGAGCTACCAGAGTTGTCCAAGAATTCGCAAACCCGAATCCAATTATCAGCGCACCCCAAAGCAAGACCACTCCTGGCAAGACGATTCGCGGTCCCATCGCCCTAGTAAGCCATGTCATGGGAGCTTGCAATAGCACGTATGTAATGAAGAAACACGAAACCATCAACGCATAGCGGTACCCTATCCATAGATCTAGGTCCTCGCGCATACCAGCAATGGCAGCGTTGGCGACGTTGCTTCGATCCATTAGCGAGATGCCGAGCATGAGACCCAGAATGGGAACCACTCTCCAGTCGACCACTCTTTGGATTCGCGCCACCTCCTTTGGAGTAAAACTTTCCTGGCCTTCAACCTCCTCTTTACCAGCGTACGATTGTTCTTCCATGTCCTCAACGTGCAATGCTTCAGACTTGGCGACGTGTAGGTCGCTGTGATGGGCCATGTTTGAAAGTAAAAATGACTGGGAGGCGTACAGATAGGTTCTTGAAGTGAAGAGTGTAACAGGGGAATACAACAAATTTCTGTTTGCTCTTTAACGAGGTCTTCCCCCCTTTAAGTCGCGATGAATGCAATAATTTTAGCCCGCTGAGGGCAAGCAGTATGGAGCGGGGAATTGAGCGCCGAGTCCATGGTTGTGATCCGGTTCCCTGGTGTGAGCTCATGTCTGTGCAGGATACATTCGCATCCCCGTGGGGCCCCGCACTGCGGAGATTGTGTTCACCATAGATGTAAAATTTGCTCATGAAGACCTGATAGGATTCGTTACGGTGTCCATTTTCCGAGCTAGGTTCTAGAATTTAAGTTTGGGCATTAGGAGGACACGAGTCAGGTGCAGGAACGAAGAATTTCTTTGTCGGAGAATGGAGGTCCCAAATATCCGATACATCAACCTGGTATTCACATTTCTCGGCGGTGTGTCATGGGAAAAGTGAGGCCTCGGCAGGTAGTACATCCTTAGAAATGCTACTGCTGATATAGCTCGGCTAGAGCTTCAAGCCGCTTCAATGAAACCCTTAGATCGAATGTGCCCGATCCCATTCTCCCAGTATGATGTGTCCACTTGTTCTGCGAAACCTTCAGTTCTAGTCCTGAGCGTGAAGTCAGCCTTGATATTTCCCCTTGCCCAATATCTTCATCGTACCTCAACTCTTCTAATGATATCTGCGTTTGTTCATATTTCTCCTGGGATGTATATCTCTCAAGCACTGAGACCTCCGTAGCGACTCCATCTTTTCTTTTCAATGGCATAAATGTGAGAACATGCTCCATCTCCCTACACTTCCGGGCCAGCAGGTTCAATTCTTCCAAAAGGACTTTAGTCTCTTCATAATGTTTCGTGATATATCTTCTCACAACGATGAGGTTGCTGTTCGTTTGTGAATGTTTGAACTGGACATCTGCTACTTCTCTCGCAAGAAATCCATTCGCACAAGCTGGTTCTAGAAAAATGAGAGCAGTGGGATGGACGAAGAGTTGCTCCTCCACGCCTACAGATCGCATTCTCTTGTATTCTGGACTGCTTCGATGGGCTTGTGTTAAAGCTAGTTCGTCGGCGTACCTACGAGTATAAGCTACGTAGAGAAGAGAAACGTCATGGTTAGTAATGATTAGGGACGTACACTTCGAATCCACAGCAGCGGTGCTCATCTTGCTGATCTAGGGGGCTCTTCCTAAACCAAGAGTAGGACACATTTCGCGGCTCGTTGGCATATGTTGTATCGGCAATGTCGCTGATGAGACTAAGAAACTATAGATGTTATGAGCCTACACGCCCCCTTTCATTGAATCCTCCACTCTCAAGGGAGTACCTTCTCAAGTTTCTCTTCTGATCCACATAATGGAGTGGGAATAAGAGCAAAAGACATGTTATGATGATAGAGTGGACTTCGGAGACAGGAACTCGAAATGCTGGCTTGGAGGAAGCAGCAACAAGGAGGTTTGAATGTGAGACGACATGCGACTTTTGTGGCTTCCTCAGTCTTTCCCTGGAGTAAGGAACGTGTCCTACAGCCCGCAGTCTAGCGGTCGTGTACAACTGGCACGGAAGGCGGAGATCTCGAGCTCCGTAAGCCGGATCCCAAATGGTGGGATTGGGATCACCGCATCTCGCACTTTCGTCCTGCTCCTAGCTCCAAAGCCCTAATATATGCATCGTTGAACCATAATTCGGGTTCTGCTCTCTGTAATTTGAGTTTCGGATTACTCGCCTGTCTCACGATGCCACCACGTCTTGATAACGCATTCATATCCTCACTCGCAGAAACTGGGAAAGCGGCCTGCCCGCGGTTTCCTTGGTATAGAGGTGCTATTGTCGCACTTGGAGCTCTGAACTACCCCGAAGAAATACCAGCATTTTATACGTATGTTCTCGAGCACTATATTCCTGAAGACGCCCGCAAAGAGGAGACGAAAAAGATTCTCGAAGGCCTGACGAAGGCGTCAGGAATTGTCGGTGCGGCAAAGGTAAGTCCCGTTTTAGGATTGCCTTATGATAAAGGCCACCTTGACTCCACTGCTTTGAGATGTGGTAAAATAGAGCATTGCTGACATTTCCCAAATTGGGTTGCTGTAGACCGGCAATGCAGTACGCGCTTTGAACCCAACCATCCCAACGCATCTAAAAGACAACACGTGCTACAGGTATGTAGAACCCGGGCGCACAATCCCTATTTGGAATCTGCCAGAGCTGAAGACTAGGCATTCAGACAGAGTGAGACATTCGAAAACGCTTCGAAGAGAGGACGGGAATTCCATCGCCAAATTTACGGTCGAAATCCTTTCTTTGCGGACTCCCAGACTAAGAACGCGGCAGCAGATTACTACTGGATTGTGTCAAGTAAGCCAACCTCCGGTAACCCAGTACTTTGGTCTAATTTGCAGGGGTTAATGCTGATCGAGTTATTCGCCCGCGCAGATTTGTTTTATGGTTACATTTTCTCTTTCGATGAAATCCTTGATGGGCTAGAGACAAGTCACTGTATCTTATCGGCGTTACTGGGTATAGATTGCCAGGAGCAGGTTAGAAACCACATGATCGGGATGTTGTTGAATGGTGCAAAGAGAGAAGAGATTGAAGCATTCAGGAACGTGGTATTGAGGCTTGCGGAGAAGTTAGAGGTGAAGTTCAAGGATGCACCAATTCCGATTCCAGCCAATCCGGAAGGCACCAATATGTTGTGAATAGCTCTAGTCGGGGGGTTCAGGGATAAGTGAAAGATTTTATGGCAGTCGGAGCAATTTTATGTCGGCGTTGATGAGAATTAGGCACATAGTGATCTTATCTTCTCTAGCTAAGACCTCGGCGAACATCACCTCTGAACATGCACACTCCGTGTTTATCACTCGCGCGTGAATTTTTGGCATAAACATATCGAAGATGGACCTCAAGGGCGACCCTGACCTGAAAACCTTCTGCTCTTTCTCCTATCCACTCTAGAAGAAGGCGATAATATTTGGCGGCGAAGCAACAACTCCCTTGTAATTCAACGGAGCCGATGAAAGGAAAAATGACCACCTCTTTAACTTCTTACATACCTCCGACAAGCCCTCTAAATCAAACAGCTCGCCAATAGGTGTTCCCCACCCTGACAAGAGCACGGGATGCAACGAGTATTTTTGATCCGTTGGAGCTTTATACACACAACGATTCAGCATGCTAAATTAGAAAGTTGTAGATTCTGTTTAGGGTTGACTTACGGAAACATTCAAAAGCGGGATTATCTCCTGCAACCGCAGCAAATTGCTGCTCCCAGAGCCATCGCAAGGTCTCTTCCGACTGCCCGAGCCCAGGCCAACTGTGCCCTGTTTTGTACTCTTCTCTAGCTGAGGAGTCGAGTTTGCCGTACGCTTGTACGAAGCCTGTGCGGAGAAACAAGATATCTCCCTTGCGCAATTGGATCTGTTTTTCTTGCAATATCGCTTTGACGCTCTTGAGGTCAACTGGGTGAACCTGCGTTGGGTCGTACTGGATACCCTTCTCTTGAGCCCAACTATAATAATCGATGAGGACGCCGCGTCCAGCAATTCCTTGATCAGCCCAGGCGTCGATGCCATTGATGGTGGTGTCGTTCGCGCAGTGGATGTCTTCTTGCGTCACGCTGTTATCGAATCCTAAGTATCAGCCCTGTCCACTTTTTTCAAATCCTTCGAGCATAGATAGGCGTTGTATTACCCGTTGTAGAACATCTTTTCCTGTTGGTATCCGAAATGCCGGAAGCTATCCCACTGCGCACTCCCTTGGGTATTGAATGATATCTACGATGATTAAATCCGAATTTTAGTGTGAGAAAATCTTTAGTCTACTCACAACATCATCATTCACAATTCTGGGGGCCTTATTAACCATCTTCTTCTCAAACCCGACGCGGCCTAGCAGAGCGGGGCTGATGAAGTCGAGAGGGAGACTGCAGGATACTCTGTGAGCGTCCCCCAGATTTGAAACTGCAGATATTGGATTGAGAAGTGCTCACTTCAAGCCTACTCTAATGCCGGTCTGAAATTCCTCTTTCGCTGCTCGCAGGACATTCTCATTTGTCAGATAATTTAGCGCTCCCAACTGCGAATTCTCCCAAAGACCCCATGCCGAGTACGGAGGGTCGCCTTTTCGGAGAGGAAGGTCATCGAAGCTAGGTAGAGATTTAGATGTGGCCATAATGTGTATAGTTCGTATTCTCGATCTCTTAGAAGAGGAGTGTTTCTCAAAAGGTTTTGCTTTCCTTTACCGTTTTGTTAATGGTGGGTGACGTAGCGGTTGCGGAGATGAGAATACCGCAAAACGGAGAATCGGATTTTGAAGGTACACTTCGTAAATCGGGTATTATACATATTCAACAGAGCTCTGGCTGTTCCAACGGACACTCTAATCCCTCTCAACACCCAACCAAGGTTTTCATTCACACCCTCTGATATCTCACAATGGCTCCAGGCTGCATCGTGGTGTACCTCGAACCTAAAGACTCCACCGGCTTCGCTAGCTTACAATCATGGCTCGCAACCATCCCTGAAACCATCCCTGGAGTACAAGTCATGACGAAGCTCGAAGCCACAGACACTGTAGACGCATCCCGCCCATACCGTCTCGAATCCCTCATCCAAGTCGAAAACATCGACACCATTCAAGACGCCACAATCTCGCACCTCCGCACATCATCCAACTCCTTACTCTCCCGCTCAGACTGGCACCTCTTCCGCTCCATATCCTTCGACAAAAAGCCCGACTTCGACACCACCAGAACACCACCTCTCAACATGCAACTCGTGCAAGTTGGTATGGCGCCAAGAAACGAGCCCGAAATCATCGCAGACTATCATAACTGGTACAAAATAGAGCACATGCCGTTCCTCGCCCAAGTGCCCGGCTGGCAAGTTGGAAATCGGTATGAGCTTCTCCGTAGCATTGGTGATGGAGCCGAACCTGCGAAGCCATTTTTAGCGGCGCATTTGTATGATGAGGTGAATGGGCTGGGGGGACCTGAGTGGAGGAAATCGGTGGATTCGGCTTATACGAAGAAGATTCAGAAGAATACTAGCGAGCCTAATCATCGGCGGACGTGGAAGGTTGCTGGGTAACTTCGATGGACAGATTACTACGTTGATAAAAACGAATTTTTACCTCATTCATACTCCCAGTCCTTCCAATTTGCGTGATACTTGCTTCGAGAATACTGCGATGAGCCTGAACCGTGCGGTATCCGTACAAGCGTTTGCAAACATGTACAAATACTGCCCTGAAATTTCCGGCCAACAGGCAACTTGACAAGCCGTTCCTCGTGTATTGTTGGAGTGATTTCCCCGCGTTACATTTTGCGGAGAAACGGAGCTACTTGACTCTCGGGGCTAGACTCGGAGTTCACATCTCCGCGAGAGGACCTCCACTCCTCGTATCCCATACCCACTATCGGACTTGCCTCTTCCTGCAATTCACGCCCATGGACGCGTCGTGGATTCAAAGAAAAAATCTCCTGATCATCATGATAGGCGCTGTTCAGACCTCCGATTCAGTCCTAGATGAAGAAGTGAACGTGCATTACTCAAACCATTTAACAGCCAGCCTGAGTTGCAGAAGTTCACCATTGAGACACTTTGTTGCACAGTCCCTATCATCGAAGGCACCATGACCATCCCTCAAGAAACACCCTTCAAGATTCAAAATGTACCGCTTGGAGCCCACCGTCCAATCCGAGTGGTCTGCATCGGAGCCGGGTATTCGGGGCTAATGATGTCCATAATAGCAGAGAAGAAAATGAAAAACCACAACGTTGACTTCCGTGTCTATGAGAAGAACCATGATTTGGGGGGAACCTGGCTTGTGAACAGGTATGGGAGGTGCCGCAGGAACATTAAAAGACTCAGGAAAGAAGGTCAGAGTGCTAACTAGTAGCTTTGATGCAGATATCCCGGATGCCAGTGTGATATCCCGGCCCACAATTATGCGTATAGCTTCGCGCCGAATCCCTCCTGGCGGAACTACTATGCAACTTCTGCAGAAATCCAAGCGTACATGAAGGATGTTGCGAAAGCATATGTTTGCGAGAAGTTTGTTGCGTATAGTCATACAGTGACGAGTGCTGTGTGGCAGGAGCAAGAGGGGAAGTGGCGTCTTACTGTCGAGTCCGAAGGGCACGAGTTTATCGACATTTGCGACGTCCTCATTAACGCTGGCGGCATTTTAAGGTATGAACCCCAAAGCTCGATCGAATGTCGTGGGAAGACCTGCTGAAGGGCTGTTAGCAACTGGGAGTGGCCAAACATACCCGGGATTGAGAAGTTTCTGGGCAAGCTTCTCCATTCAGCAGACTGGGATACGTCGTATGATTGGACAGGGAAGAACGTCGCCCTAATTGGGATTGGATCCTCTGGTATTCAGATTCTGCCCAAGGTGGCTGAAGGTAAGAACATGATGGCTTCAGGAAACGGCATGCTAAACTTCGTTAGAAGCAAAACATGTCGACTTTTTCGTCCGATCACCAACCTGGATCACTCCCGCTCCAGGAATTCTAGAACCAAAGGTTGGCCAAGGCCCAGAAGTCGACGAGGAGTACAATTACGCACCCGAGGAGCTCACACGATTTAAAGATGATCCTGAGTATCTTCTTGAGCATCGACGTGAACTCGCTGAGAAACGCATCGACGAATTCAAAGCCCACATGGACGACACCGAATCCAAAGCACGCGTCAACAAGCTATTCCGCGAATCCATGATAGGTCGTTTAGGGGAGTCTGAAAAGGGAAGAGAAATTGCCAAATGGCTTTTACCAGAATTTCCTGTCGGTTGTCGACGCCTCACGCCTGGACCCGGTTTCCTAGAGGCTTTGGTACGAGACAACGTCGACAGCTGGTGGAACGACATTGATCGTATTACCGAGAAGGGAATCCAAAAGAAGGACGGCACAGTGATAGAGCTCGATGCTATTTTCTGTGCTACCGGGTTCAACACGACGTTTAAGCCACAGTTTCGTCTCATTGGCCGCAATGGAGTTGACCTGGCTAAGAAGTGGACAGACGACGAACCCATGGCGTATTTTAGCACCACGATTCCAGATTTTCCAAATTACTTTGGTATGCCCACTTACGACCTGACCGGCCCTACCCTTCCAATTGCAACTTGATCAAGTAACTGACTCATGTCTACAGCTTTTATTGGTCCCAACAGCCCCATATCGAATGGCTCTCTGGTTCAAGCGATCCAAATGACCGGAGTTTATATCTACAAATGCATCAATAAACTGCAGACCCAAAGCATAAAATCCATGGAGGTTCGCTTCGACGCGGTACAAGACTACGACGACTATGTCCAAACATGGCTGAGCAAAACTGTGTGGGTATCGCCGTGTCGAAGCTGGTATAAACGTGGAACAACAGATGGTCGTGTTGTCGCTGTGTACGGCGGTAGCTGTTATCACTTCATAGAAGCGTTGAGGGAGCCAAGATGGGAGGATTATAAGTTAGAATACTTTAGGGGTGCAGGAAAGAACAGGTTCAGTTGGTTAGGCAATGGTCTTACGGTTCGGGAAGCGGAGGGGAAGAAGAGCGTTGGAGATACCCAGACGTTGAATTTTGAGGATTATTGGGATCTTATGGTTCTGCCGGAGATTTACTATTGATCAAATTAAAACCACACTCCTCCAAATAAGAACGTAGCTCCAGGTGCGAGTTTAAGTGAAGGGAAAAAATCTCGTGAGGTCACGACACTAGATGAGTTGGATTTAAATAGATAAGTCAGCCTCATGAGTGCACTGTTCATCAAGGGTAGTTCAAGGAATGCTCTCTCGATGTCTCCCTATTACGCGCTAAGTAATATAACGTCTTCCTCCGCGCAGGGTAACTACAGTTAGGTGCTTGATATCTATAATTCTTGTTCGGTTATTTTATGACTCTGGTATCGACTCGGGAGAGTTGTAGTTAGCTACAAAGCCGCCTGGGTATATGTGCTGGCGGTCGACTGTGGGAACAGAGAAACGCAAATAGCTGTTGAAACCAATCCCTAGTTGTGTTGCAAGTGATGACGGAGGTCATTTCGTGTTTGTAGTCTACATGTGCATGGCTAATTCGCTGATGTTTGTCAGTAGACTACACAGCAGTCGTAGAGCGACACTAACCTTAAATAGGCGCACTCCGTCATTTCTATCGCTGAACGCATCACTTCAAAATTCATTTTCCACCCAAGCTAATCCATTTCAGGCTTTCTTCATCCACCAAAGCCGAGTACTGCCTCATCCTTCCTCTTTACCATGACCCCCTATCACATAAGCGTCTTTGGTTTCTTCACACTGCTATTTGGCGTCCACGCCAATGCCAATCGTGCATCATCGATCGGGTCTATAGCACGTTAATGGCACAGACTCAGGGTTCAAACTCTCCATTCACATGTCGAGGCAGCTGCCTTCCCTGTAAGCTATCCACCCGAAGGGTCATGTTAGCTCACTCTTCGCACCTGCAAGTCTAGAAGCCTCGAAGGTTCATTGCCTTCCAGCTGCCCAGGACCACGCTTTTGTAGCAGACCTCAGTCAATGTTCTATTCCAACATGAGCGACCGAGCCGACAACTATACACACGACAAGCGCCAAGTTTCTCGGACAGGTACTGCTGTTGGAGTTTGCGAGGCAGATGCCTCCGTCATCACCAATCTCGATCGAATCCTCTCCTGTTGGTGGAGTTGAATTTTGGACTCCTTGTTATAGTGAAGAGAAGTCTGCTTGTTTTCCTCACGGCTAGCCCCGTACCTTCACGTGATGAATTCCGACTTTGATCAGAACAGAATTTGTGAACCGGATATCTCAGCACCACATAGACATGCGCGCACATGTTGGCATGCGAGAATGTAACGGTGGACACAGCACAAGAACGATAATGGTCGCTTCCGATGAAGGGAGCGGAGAGCAACCAAACTGATTTTATATTCGCTTTGTGCGGTGTTAGGACCTTGCTGACGGCCTGCAGATCATTGACGATCCGTAGCACAGGATTAGCACCGGCACGACTCACAAACGGCGGTAGTACGGTGAGGGAAGCCATGGGCACGTTGGAAGGGGCCATTGTGCGAATGCTGTTGGAGTCCGTTGAATGTAAGCAATTTATCCCTTTCAGACTGGCAAACTTGGAAGAGCTTATCTGAAGTGCATATGATGTACAATGTAGTGCTCCCAAGGCCCGGATCTGGGCACCCGTGGACAAGCAGTCTCGGTTCGGTGGTCCCTGTCTCACCTTCCTGCTCAGCCGCTGTTTTTCAAACGTATTAGGGCCTTCCAAGGTTGGTAGCCAGTGCACTTCGGGAGCCAGTGCGGCAAATTCGTAAACCTCTGGGGAGCGAAGACCTGTTCGATTTAGTACTGCGTCGACTAGTTAAAATTATGGCGACGGAGGGAATACTGCATTTCAAAGCAAATCAGATGTCTATTTGACAAAGAGCAGTCATCTTCACTGCCTTCTATTATTTGGATGATATTATATCCGAAGTTCCTGTGACCTGAAACCGACTGTTGCAGACGGCAAGCTCGACCGGCCAAAACCGGTATTAGGTGCCAACAAGGAACCCTTGACAATAAACAAAAGTTGGGCAGTACTGGTTAGTAAAGCCTCAATGTATACACTTTGGACGAAGTAAATCTAATTCTTCCTCTGTTTCTTAGGAGGAGGAGACTCACTTGACCCCTTCGATTTTTGGCCTTTCCCGACAAGTCCACGGATATCGATCTCGCCATCGCTGTCGTCCTCCTCATCGAAGTCCTCAATCTCGAGGTCGGACCCATCATCGTCGTCTGCCTCGTGGGCTTGCTCTGCAAATGTGTTAGCCAGTCATCTTCGGACAAGTCGAGGTTTATACATACTAAAGTACTTGATGGCGGACGGCCACATATCTTCGGCGATGATGGTGGCGAGCTCATCTCCTTGGGGGAAGACCTCAACCTCCTGGAAGTCCTGGTCGTCCTCATCGATGGCCTCATCCTCGACCTTTTCCCCTCGCTTTCTCTTCTCCATGCGCTCCTTCTCGAGCTTGTTTGCTTGCTCTGATTCTTCCGCGCTGACCCACCTCCAGCTTGAGACGAAACCGAACCATGCGAAGAAGCTATTTGATGCATCCTCGCCCTGTTCGATCATCTTTGCCAAAACCTTGTATTCGGGCAGGCTGGTCTCGATGGACTTGGCGTTGCCATTCGACTTGGCGAGAAGTTTCTTCCTCGCCTCGTACAGCGCATATGCCGCATCGGTGAGGCCGCCAGTCAAATCCCTGCCCTTCTTCCAGTGAATCTTGACTGGCTCGGAGACGAGGCCTTGCCACTCATCACCATCCATCGCCTTCCTGTACCAGAACTTCTTCTCCAGCAACTTGTCCTCGAAGTAGCTGTTCTCGCTGAATCCGAACTTAATCGAAAAGCTGCGCGGTGAACCATTTGCCATGTGCATCTCAAAGCGTGAGACTTCTAGGGTTTCAAGGCAGTCGGCGAAGACCTGGGAGTCGGAGGGTAGTATATAGTTGTCGACCTCTGGCGGTGACTGCTCGAAGACAAGAGCCCAGAAGTGAGGGATCTTGGCTATGACGGCGGCGCGCTGCTGGAAGAGGGGAGCGTGGAGAGCATCAGATTTCCTGACTACAGCAACTAGAGTTAGCATTGCAGAGTGCTGCCTGGATAAGGTAAAGCGGCTTACTTATCTGAAGCTCAACATCTTCAAATTCCGACTCAAGTACACTGAGCTCTTCGAATCGCGCCAGAACCTCCTCGGGATTGATTTCGGTCATGGTGCGGACTGCCGTGTTTGTGGCAATTGCGTTCTCTAGGAAAGGCATTGTTTCAGCAATTGTGAGATTGTTTGATTGGAAATGGTCGGCTTACATGGTAGAGGAGGTTATATAGCCTCAAAACGGACGGTGGGTGCCGGCGGAGGCAAGAATCTTGTTGGGAGCTCAGAACCTTAGAAAAAATTCTGGTGGGGCAGGGATCTGCGCGTAACCACGCGGGGCGCACAGGCCAGCCGCATCGCCTCCTCATGGTACAAATGCTGTCATCTTCGGTATATTGTCCTCTGCACTGCTCTGTCGCGATGCGAGTAACACTTCACGCAGGCTTTCATAACACAGTTGATGGAGCGGTCTTCTCCAATTTTCGGGTCTGCGCCTATCAGCTCCTATGGTTAGTGACGCGCTTCCGGGTAGGGCTGAACGCTAGTGCGTCTAGCGCGCTCCGGAGCCTGACACTGGCTTCGACTTTTCACCTCCGCCTCAACCAGATACAGAGTCACTCGTCTGATTCATGCCGTTGCTGACTCCAGCTATTTTCCAGGCTGCAAATATAGAATGATCCGGAATCATTTTTCTTGTTCTCCAAGTCACCACATTCTCCGTAAAATCGGCAGTTAGGACGTTCTGCTGCCATATCTCTCAACATTTTCTAACCTGGTTTCGCTTGTTCTGCGTTATCTGCATGTCACCGTCAGCCTAATTCCGTTGGTCTTCATCCCTCATTCAGTTGCTTCCAATATGGGTGGACAGGCCTTTGCTACCTCGGGCCCTAACGGAACTCCACTCGGGGTTCCCCGCATGCCATCCGATGTCTATAGAAAGGTGGCTTCTGATATCCAGTCTCGGCTCAAGGGCATCTTTCGAAGTGTTGTAGTGCCCCGAGAAGCTCCTGGCAAGCCCAACCATGGCGACGTCGACATACTAGTCGAGGGCGCCCTCTGTAAATGGACACCTACCTCCATAGGACAAGAAATTGGAGCGCTTCATCGCATCACTCACGGAGGCACCCACAGTTATGCCATTCCCTACCCAGATCTGCCCGGTTCGTTCGTTCAAATCGACGTAGAAATATGCCCTGGCAACGATACTCCAGATGGCGCTGAGCTCTTTGAGTGGACAAAGTTCATGAAGAACGATTCCGACCTCATGCAGATTATTGGCGTCTCTCACAGATCACTCGGAATCACGTCTAATGACAGGGGTCTTCATGTTCGCGTCAAGGAGATTGAACCCCACAACAAGAAGAAGAGCCAGATATTCCTAACACGGAACCCAGAAGAAGCGATGGCATTCCTTGGGCTAGATATATCAAAATACTGGACTGGATTCGCGACTGAGGATGAACTATTCGAATGGGTCTCTCGAGGACGGTTCTTCTCTCATACCTTTCTCGACGAACGCACAGAAAAGGCAAATGATAGGCAGAGAATAAGAAAGCGTGGAATGTATCGTCGTTTTATGGAGGAGTATATGCCTACACTTCGAGAAACAGGAACACTAGACGAACCCTGGACGCGACAGGGCGTATTGGAAGAAGCCCTCACAAGCTTCAACAAACATGAGAAGTATCGAATAATGATGGATGAGTATGTGACGCAGGAGAGGAGCGACGCGCTATGGAAACGGATCAAAGAAACTCTTCCACTCGAGGGATCATCCTTAGGTATGACATTGAAAGGCTTGAAGCGTTGGGTTGGCTTTAAGGATGGCCAACCTTACATTAGTCCTACTCGTCTCACTGATGATCCACCTACTTGGATCCTAGCTATGGGAAATACCGGAGTGGATCAAGTCTTGGTTTGGGTCAAGGAGAACTGGGCGGAGGCGAAGGCTTTGGAAAAGACGTATGTGGTGAGTTTTGAGCCTAATCAACATTCCTCACGATATTTACAGAAAGCCAACCGTGTCTAGCGCGCTGCTAAAGAAGCAGGCAAGACCAAAGGTTGAAGCGCAATGATTTCGCATAGATACCTAAATTGTCGTTTCGAAGGCCCAACGGTTGTTTCTTACATCAGAAATCGTGGTCACGATGGAGCTAATATGTTGAGCCTCTCGCTAGAATCAGGGAGAACGTGAATTCTGGTCCTGAATTACAGTACTCATTCAGGGCAGTCGTTCCAGTCTGCAGAGAGGTTGTTTGTACTAGGTAGCACACCACCATCATGAAAACACTATCACACATACGTGTACAGCATCGGTTGGAAATACCTCTTCAATCCCTGACTCATCATAATTCATGCGAAATGATTTCATTCGGTAATCTATAAGCCGACGCTTTCCTTGAAGCATCCACCCAGCTCCGCTCAGCTCTGCACCGCCAGCGCAGAAATCTGCTGGTCTCCCCATTCATGGAAAGAGCACAGGTCCGATGTTCAAATTTTCAATTTTGTAGGGGTAACATATCAGTTTTGAAGGGGTAACAAGAATACTGGAGTGGAGCAGACAGGGTGGTTCATCCGGTTCATTCGTTGGCTGCATGGCGCTTGGCTGGAGTGACCACGGGTCAATGAGGAAGCATGACACCATGGCTGTTCTCAATGCGAGCGAGAGCCGTTCTTTTGCGGCGCGCTGCAACGAAGGCGAGGAGGATATAAACTGGGACCTGCACATTCTTGGTCGTCATATCCTTGACCTTTGTCTCTTATATTTCGCACTCGGCAGATCTGTGCGACGATAACCGCCGTTCCGTTATCTGATATTTCCCTCGGCGTTCCTGCCTCGCTTTCTTCTCGCCCGACGCTGCACCAATTGGCGAGGCCTTCGGCAACCACCTTTATTCTCCGATCGGCCTTTATTTGATACTGCAAAGCCGTCTTTATCAGTGAGACCGTCTCACGGCACCTTTCATGCCCGGAAAGCTGCTTGGGGGGATGGACGAGCTCTTCCCAGAAGTTCAGCTTCCAGAATCTCGAGTTCTTATCATTATCACAGGTGTGCCATCAAATTAACATTCGCGAAGTCACCCACAGCTCACAGTTTTCTGATCAGGTGGCACAATATGTATGCGACGTTCAGAGGATGGCCTGGTACCCGTGAGTCTAAATATTATTTCTGCAAGTGGCTTTAACCTAATAGCATCCCAGGCGAAAGGTTTCCTGAAAGCTGGACTGGCACCGAGGCCTTCATTCAACGATGGTTCTTATCCAGAACCGCTGGAAATCGTGACCGATGACAAGGGCACGAAGAAGGCAGTCCAGAGCTTGAGAACCCCGATTAGCACGTACGACCGTCGAGTCCGGTACTCTGTACTCGAATTCGACGAGCTCCTAGACAGCAGCTCCATTGATGCCGCAGGGTGGGACCACATTGCAAAGTCTGTCTACCGGAACTACCAGCTTTTCGATGGGTTTGTCGTACTCCATGGCACTGACTCGCTGGCGTACACCTGCTCTGCGCTGAGCTTCATGCTCCAGGACCTAGGAAAGCCTGTCATTCTCACGGGATCACAGGCGCCAATGATGGAGCTACAGAATGACGCTCAAGACAACCTACTAAGCTCGCTGATCATTGCCGGCCACTTCATGATCCCAGAAGTATGCTTGTTCTTCAACTTCAGGCTCTTCCGTGGTAACCGCACAACCAAAGTTTCTGCAGATGACTTCAGTGCTTTCGCTAGTCCCAATATTCCGCCTCTAGCAACAATTACATCTCTCCGAACGAACGTTCAATGGAACCTTGTGTACCGGCCAACACAAGTAAATCCCTTCAGCATCCAAACCAAATTGGACACAGCACACGTCGCCTGTCTCCGCATTTTTCCGGGCATGAAACCTGAAATGGTCGACGCAGTTTTACGCCTGGAAAGCCTGAAAGGCCTGGTCCTCGAAACATTCGGTGCTGGAAACACCCCGGGAGGACCCGACAGCGCAATGACCCGAATCCTGGCAGATGCAGTCAAGAGAGGAATCGTAATAGTCAATGTGACCCAATGCCTAAGCGGCAGTGTGAGTCCACTCTATGCTCCTGCAACTGTTTTGGGTCGAGCCGGGGTGGTGTTTGGGCAGGACATGACCACTGAGGCAGCTCTGACCAAGCTGGCTTACCTTCTAGCTCTCCCAAACGCTACGCCCGACGAGGTGGGCAAGCGTATGTCGGTTTCTATTCGTGGTGAGCTGACGGAGTCGACCCGTACCCATTTCGAACATCCGAAGAGCGGTGCCCTTACTCCAGAGCTATCTAGCCTGACGGCATTGGGATACGCGGTCCAGAAAGGTAAATTGCAAGATGCACGGGACATCATTCGGGGTGAGCCTCGATGGCTGCTGAATGATGCAGACTACAATTTAAATACTCCCGTGGTAAGTGAATTCCCTCGCTATCATCTAGAGGTTGCAAGTTAGCGACCTCTTCCGGCCAACTACGTCCTATCAACGCAGCAATTAAGTCGAAACTTCCTGTTCTGGGCGAAAAACTCAGTGGATGAGTGGGCCGGTATCGGCCACCGCCGTATTGCAGCAGCCTGCTGGTACAGCGGTTCCCGCGAGACGGTGCAACGACATTATCTGTGATAAAGACGGGTCACAGAGGATGACGCCGTCGGCCAGGCACAAGACAAAGCCATACACGACCCAGCATGACAGGCTTGGCGGTCGTACCATGTTGGCCCTTATCTTTGGACACACAGGCCGGAATGCGGAGAAACAGAGTGCCCGATGATGCAAGACTGCGTTTGCGGATGCATAAGCTGACATGGTGGTTTTCCTGCAGCACCTCGCGGCGACCGGACCGAACATCGAAATTCTGCGCGACTTTTTGGCGCAGGGCGCCTCTGTCCACCTTCGCAATCGCAGCGGCCACACGCCCCTCTTTTTGGCCGCTGCTGCGGGGCTGAAAGATCATGTGGATGTGCTTAAATCGGCGGGCGCTCACCTCCATGAGTCTGAGATGGCGGCGGCGAGGCTGCATGCTTCAGAGGGCGATGGCGACCCCTCGGTTTGGGAGCTGGCAGGCACGACGACTGGCTGAGCTGGTGGTGCGTCAGGAGGTTGGCTGGGTCGGGTAATTGTGGTCCTGGATGGTGCAAGGGGTTGCAAGGAGGACTTCATGTATCCAGAGTCTGGTGTGTCCCTATGATGAGGAATGGGGAGTGGGGAGTTGAGGGTGCGGATCTTCTGTCTCGATGCTGCCATGTCTGGCGCAACTTTGGTCATTAAGGCCCGGTGATGCGCTAGATGCTCTGCCGTGTATATATACTTACCGCTCAGAATCGGCGACTTGAATCGTGGAGGGTGATGCGAGACGACTGGTGGCTTGATTCAAGGTGATGTTTTCTGTTAGTAGTGCAGCGCAGAGGTGCATATTGCGGGGAAGCCAGGAGCAGCCGGAACCTATCCCGGAGTGCTGGGTGAATGATGGGTGAATCCGGTCGACACATTGGGTACTGTAGCGCAGCCCATCTGATAATTTATTATGTTTGTGATGCGAGGCGCCGCCACGATGCTGCCTGTCTGGCTTTGGGGGAGGGCAGCAAAGCAGCCAGGGCCCCTGACCAGTGCCAGGCTTGTTTTTCGGTTACTAAAAGAAATGTTGCGCCAGGCGTCCACCCTGATGATCTCGAGACTTCACGATCCGTCATCTGTCTCCTCGAGCCCCGCGGCCTGTCCGACGGCATCGCAGCACGCTTCCTAACACTGGCGCCGGGTTTGCTGGCTGCACCTAGAGGAGGCTTTTGCGCTTGGAAAATTTCCCCGCATCCGTAGGCCTATCCCCGCCGCCGCGCGCATCACGAGAAGTAGCGCTTGAATGGCGAAGGTTGGCCAGCTGCCATGCTTCCTTCTCCTGACCCCAATTTGCGCTTTTGCTCTGCAGCATCTAGACTCCGTGGGCTCCCCAGCGCGCTCCCACCACCCCTATCTCCTCACCGCCGGCGGGCTCATTGCTGATATTAGCAGACGCTGGCATGCTAACCGCATACTCTGTCCCAGCCTGGCTCCAATTCGTCCTTATGACTCTGCCATTAGGTAATTTTTCCCCAGCACGACAGCGAGGAAGACAAACAGGGCCCAAGTAGTGACACTAGATGGGCGTCCTGCGTCGCCTTTCTCCTTCATCTCCGCTCTCATCAAACGTCGAAGAGGGAGCTTCTTCGTGCTCTTAAACCTTCCACTCTCCCGGACAGCACCTCCGCCGCGATTGTCCTACTGTACTACATCTAGCTCCCACCCCCCTGCATATCTAGGTACAGCCTCGCGTGCGCCTGCGTTCCCGGCCCTAGTTAGCTGCTGTGGTTCCATTTAATTATTTGTGCGGCCACAGCACGTGCGGTTCCATTATCCTCAACCAGTCTCGAGCCCGATTGCGGCAACTATCCACACCGACTCCGCTGGCAACCAATTTTATCTGCCACCTCTCACACCACCTTTATCTCCCTATCGCCCATCACTCTGCACTTTGTTGCTCCTTGCTCGACACGCCGCGGGGGTCCAGACTGGCGGTTCTGTCTCTCCCTGCTCTGCCTGTTTCCTCCATATAACATCTGCCGCTCTCACCCGCTCTTCGACTCGGCACCGCATGCGGCATCACCGTCACCGACCTTGATTTTTGACCATCATTGTCAACCCCTCTCCGCTGTCTTGCCTTTTGGACTGACCGAGCTGGACTCTATCTCCCCGGATGCAAAGAACGGTGGTGACCGTCAACAGCAATGGCCGCCAGTCGGCGAGCTTCATTCGAGTTGCATCAGCAATTGGGTGGAATGTGCGAGCACAAATGCGAGACTTGAATGGACTCGTCGCCCAGGAGCTCTCGGATCTGCCTAATGTCACTGTCTTTATTGGACACCTTGAGGATCCCAAATTCCTGGACAACTTGTTCAAAGGTGCGCAGTGTGCCTTCATCAATACGACGCATTGGGGAGATGAGGTTTCGATTGGCCGAGCACTAGCCGATGCGGCAAAGAAGGCTGGCGTCCAGCACTACATCTATTCGAGCATGCCCGACCATTCAGTATTCGGAAACGATTGGAGAGCACTCCCTCTTTGGTCGCCCAAGTTCACCGTCGAGCAGTATATTCGCCAAATTGGTCTTCCGGCAACTTTCGTCTACTGTGGCATATACCACAACAACTTCACTGGTCTTGACTTCCCGCTATTCCGCATGGAACACAGGCCCGACGGCAGTTTCCTCTGGCAAGCTCCTTTCCACCCAGACCAGCCTCTTCCTTGGTTGGATTCAGAACATGACATTGGACCGGCTGTCTTCCAGCTATTCAAAGAGGGTCCGCGGAAGTGTGGCGGGAAACGGTAAGCGCATTCCCACCCGCATTAGTACCCCTACATGGAGCGCAATCCCCACAATGGGAAGGCTCATTTAACTGATTTCCGGTGGTCAATGTCGCCAATTTCTTGACATCTCGTTATCCTTATCTTTCCTCGTTTTCATGCAAGCCACGTGTCACATGCACTCAATATGCCAACATTACTGACTGGGCCACTAGCATTCCACTCGCCTTCTCCGTCATGTCTCCAAAGCAGGTCTGCAAGGCCTTCAGTCGTGGCCTCCAGAAACCTGTTCAATACAAGCATGGCCCGATCGTCATCACTGTGCCCACTCCCGTTGGCTACCGTGAGCACCTGTCCGCTCTCGAGGAGACGCTCGCTGAGAAACGCGCCCCGTACTTTGGCCCCGACCTCGAAAAAGAATGCCCTGACGCCGCACTTGAGCTTTGGGAAGGCTACCGCGATATGGAAGAGTATGCGCGGGAAGTATTCCCCGTTGAGGAGGCTGCGAATGGCCTGACCTGGATGGAGGAGGTAGAGACACCACAGCGCGAGATCGAACTTGACTTCCAGGTCAACTGCTAACTGCTCCGGTTTCTATCACAGGGTGAATTTCTTAAGCATTACAATGGCGTCGTCGGCCTTACGGAGCAACTACAACAAGCTAGACTATAACATCCAACATCTATTCAGATTGGCGTCGGTGGTAGGTAGCATTTGGGCGGTATTCTTTGTTTCTTCTGCATTTGTGAGCTATCGAATGGAGAAATGGGACGGGCATGACGGGGCGATGGCTTTCCAAAGTATTCCCTACTGCGTCCGAGCATGGTGTTGGGCGGGGCACCTCGGGACATCATCAGCATGGGCGGGTTGCATTGTGTGGCGGAAGTAATTGGACCCAAAAGTGAATTTCTTCCCGGATATCATATCTTAAAATATATATCTCCTCTCATACTCATACTATCCCTACACAGGGGGGTAGCTGACGTTGTGAGGACGGAAGTGGCATGAAAAATACACGGGAGGTACATATCAATTTAAATACCAAATTCTACTCATTTCGGATAGTCCTCGAAATTTTAATAGATGTGCTACCATGGTCCAAAGTAGATGCTTTAATGGCCTCCATATTAGAAGCTGCTTCGTCCTGAAAAGGAAATCAGTCGCTTAGTCATCCACTTCCGAAATCTTCAACCCCAGATCTTCGACACGAATTCCTCATCATCCACAACTCCGCAATGGCAACAAAACTCACCTGCAGAAGAGCCTTCGCCCCTGTAATATTGAAACGCACTTTTGCATGGGCACAACCCCGGAACGGCGTGGAAAACCCGAACGAATCTCGTGCAAAGACCGCACCAGGGCGGCCCTGGAACGGTGATCAGCTATACCTACGGCTACAGAAAATTGCGAAGCAGCCGTTTCCAAGGACCAACCCTCACTCTTTCCGTGCGTACTATCTCATTGCGATCTATGCTACCCAAGTAATTGGATTGGTTTTCCACGTCGTCTCAACGGCCATTTCTCACTAACTTCACACATCAGAATCATCCTACATAACCAAAAAACGACACACCCGGAACCTCATAGTCTATAAAGCCCCTGAATCTCCACTAAAGCGCTGTACGGACCCGATCTCCACGGTCCACGCCAGCCAAATCTCCCTCCTCGATCCTACTGGAGCACGCACCCGTCTCTTCTCCAAAACCAACCCCGAATGCGCACGCGTCGGTGACATACTGCTCGTGCGAATGCGCACCGGGGACCCGTTTTCCGGCGTCTGCATCAACATCCGGCGACGCGGCGTCGACACCGCGATCCTTTTACGCGGACAGCTGACGCGTGTGGGGGTGGAGATGTGGTATAAGATTTATAGTCCGTTAGTGGAGGGGATTGAGGTTGTGCAGAGGGTGGCGAAGAGGGCGAGGAGAGCGAGGTTGACGTATATGCGGAAGGAGAAACATGATCGTGGGGATGTGAGTAATGTGGTCAGGATGTATTTGAGGCAAAAGGCGGCGTTGGGGATTGGGGGTGCGAAGGGGGGAAAGAGGGTTGGCGGGTTGGGGCCCGTGGGTGGGAAGAAGAGTGGGAAGGGGAAGAAGAAGTAGTGGGATACCATGCATTTGGATAGACAGGAAGGCATGAGTGGCAAGGACTGCGCCATTGGAGGTCTTAATGGGCCAGGCAATATTGCAGTTTGGTTGTACAACATGTATAGAGCAGGCGTGGCTATCAAACGTCAACTTCACCACCTCGTCACTTACCAAATTTAACAACGTCTAGGAGCCACAAGCCACAAACACTAAACGGCCGTATGCAAGCATATATCAGCTTCTGGTCCTCTTCATGCTTGGGCTATGCCACGATACATCTCGCCCAATTCCACCGTTTCATTCACGCCTCATTCATCACCCCTCTGGTCTCCGGTGATTCGCCAATATCTCGACGAACGTTGGGCAGCTAGCGCAGCTTTCTTCAACCATGCAACTCGACCTCCACGATTCCACGTTCCTCCTCTCATCACTGCTCACATACATGTCACTCTTCTTCATTGCGCTTTTCATGCTTGCACTCTCTGGCTATCTACAGATATTCTCTCCCAGGCGAAACCCATTTATCCCGCACTTCCCACCCCCCAAGCAAACCGATTTCCTCGCTCAAACGTACCACACACTAAGCCCCATTTCCCGCCGCTATGCCCCGAGTCCCTCTCCCACAGGGCCCAGGTCCCATTTCCGATGCACGGAGAACAGGACTCGAGGAGGGCCGAGACAATTTGGAGGCCGTGACTGGCAAGATTCTTCGGGTTTTCACCCTCATCCTCATTATGATTTTGATCCTGATTTTACCGATGGTTATTTGGCCTATTCGCAACGCCCTGAATCTGGATTCAGAAGACAAACGTACTACCAGGCTTCCGGAATTTCGGAATTTGATTATGGCTTCGATTCGACTTCCCTCTCCAATGGCGGTGGGATGCTATGCGACACCGTCTGTAGGCGGTGGTTAGGGCATAAGAAACAGAGACATGGTCCACGATGCGTTGTGTATAACAATATTAACGCGAACAATGAACTTCATGGTAATAGTTCTTTACATGGTGGTGTGCTTCCTTTGGGAGGTCAAGGTCGGGGTCGGGTTCAGAAACAACGGGATCCGCTGGCAGATACGGACACAGTGCTAGCTTGGGCTAGTCGCTGTGGTGTTGGTGATGATGCTGATGATAAACAATTTAGAAGGCACGTTAGTTGCGATAGGAAAGGGAGAAAAAAGTCCACGTCTTCAGAAGCAAACTTGCAGCCGGGAACCCGGACGTCCACAATCGGATCCAATTCCCGCTCTCGACCTCGATCTCGGTCTAGAAGGCCTTACCATACTCCTTCTCAATCCAGCCTACCACTGAAACGGCCAGAGCAAAATATTCCGGTTGATGTTGTGGCAGACTTTAGAAATGGTGGGGACGGTGCACCACCTTCCAAATACCTTGACCATGACAAACACTACGAGAAAATTCTATATACAGATACCATTGATGCCGAGGAACAGAATGATGGGAAAGCAAGAAGGGGAGCGCAAGCTAGGAGGCGACAGCCAAATGGAAACGAGTCTCCGGAACCTGCCGTCAGCGATCTCATGCAATGAAATGAGAGAAGGGGAGTGAGACGAGAGATAGGGTTTAGAACAATATAGGGGGGAGGGAGGGGAAGAGAGAGCGTGTATAGATGGGGGGAGAAAATTGAGGAAGCCATCAAAGGTTTGGGGTATCTCGCTCTTCTGTAGTATCCAGCATTAGTGCGACTTCAGATAGTGTTGGAAGTAAATTTTTACCGTCCTGGTGGTAATTTGGATTTCAGTCTTGATTGAAAGGAGCGTGTGGGTCAGGAGTCGGAGATCAATCGGTGATATTCCGGGGCCCGGCTCACATGATTACTCTGAGCTACGCTTGAAGGATACATGTAGCCTTGTAGGGGGCTTGAGTTATGAAGAAGTGATGTATTGTGAACTGAGGGTCCGAGGAGCTATATGATTTATATAGTATGATGAGACGCCAAGCCCGGGGTTGATTGGGTAGCCCGTCGAGAGCCCTCCAACTTACAATAATATAGAGCGTATTTCCCATTATCTTTAGGTACTTATTTATATCCTGACCCTAATAAATTGTAGAATTACTACTTGAATACAAATAAGCTGGTTTTCCCTGACCAGGAACTTATTTCCAGATGCTCTAGCAGAGCCGAACTTTCTACGATTGATAAGATATTGCTTGCACATATTTCATTAATACTACTTCTAAGGAACCTAAGCTGGAGGAAGAAGGGAGAGAAGCAGGTTGAGGTAAAAGGGAGTTGGACGAGCGGGTATAAGAAGTTGCCCAACATGCGCAGAATAGAAACAGAGTGGGAACTCCACCCCTCCACCAACCACAACCGCAACGACAGTATCAGCAAGCAGACCTAGAAAGGCTCAAACAGCGCACCAACAATATGCCGAAGGGAGGATACTGGCCTACCCCCCTCCTCTGCGTTAAATACCTCATTCTCAAATACCCAAGCCCGGTACTACGAAATCCTCAGTCCAGTATCCTACCTTCTACCAGCCAATTTCTTCTCGTCCAAAGAATCTCTCATCCGTCGCCTCATGCTGGATAAGGACGGTTCAACATCCCGCGACCTCATGACCTGCACAATCCCGGTCCTCGACTCCATCCTCCTAATCTATCTCTGAAGCTCCACCTGGCACGATTTCTTCGCGCTGCTCTTCATCGGTGTTGGGCTAGATTTAGATGGTTGGTGGCTTCCTATCTTTGGTAACCTGCTAGGGGCTGCTTCTACCATCGGATTCTTTACAGGTCTTTTAACGCGCATGCTGCCGCGCTTCTCGATACTACAATAGAAGATAAGGAGGAGAGGAAGACAGGGAGGTTAGTGTATACTAGGTCAGATGATGTAATCGGCGATGAGTTAGAGGTTGGGGAAGATATGTGCGTGGGATCAAAACATGGTGATTTGGGCCTTGCAGCCGGCGGCATTTGTTGCTGAAGACTTTGTTCAGTCTTTGTGGACACGCTGGGTTAGGGAGGGAAGAGGCGGTGATGATGGGCGCTTGGAAGAGGGGAGTCGGCTATGTGTAGGTGTTTATTTAGCTGTTTTGAAGCGCGCCGAAGGGGGATCTCTTGTTGGTGAAATGTAAGTGTATAGTATGCTTAACTTATTTCCTATCCTTCGAAGTGATCTACCGCTGCCTAGGTGATGAATAGAGTATCATGTGATGCGATAAGCAGCTAGCTACTAACTTAGCTCGTTCCTTCCGCCACATCGCGCCACACCCATCTCGCCAATCGCAGATCGCGGACGTCTTGCAGCTTACGCATCGCGCTACGTCATACAGACAACAGGGTGGCATGCGGCGCAACGACTTCATCATAAACCTGCTTGCCAAGGACTGCCTTGCTTTGTTCACCCCGCGTAATTCACTTAAAAACAGCCCGCCGATCTCCAATCCTTAGCCTCTTCCAACGAAGCACGTTTGTATTTACAAGTCGACAGCCTCACGTAATTGCCCACGTTCCACGACAATTACTACACGCTAGAAGCAGACATCTCCAACTTAAGAAGGGGCAGATTTCACGAATGCAACACTCAAACGACGACAACATGATCTCAGCCATTCTTCTCATTCTAATCACTATCTTTGGTGAGTTTTCTAAGATTTCCAGGTGTTAGGGTGCATTTCAGGAAGCTGGGTGGGTGCTGATTTTTGGGATAGTGCCACCAGTGGGTGTCTTCCTCGTTGCAGGATGTGGCATGGATTTATTCATTAACATCCTATTAACGCTTCTGGGGTATGTTGTTCCCATCTCCTACTTAACTTATTGTGCATTACCTGCTGGCCTTGCTAGATGTTGAAGCGATAGGGTTCTCTTAGCAATTTCACGAACTTCCCCAACCCCTCTATTCTCTAATCACAGACCTCCAAACCCCAATTCAAGTTTCACACGTTTCTCTTAACTAGCAATGCTATGCTAATACCGGGTACAGTTACTTCCCCGGCCACATACACGCCTTCTACATCGAATACGTATACTACAAGCGCCGCGACGAAGCCCGAGCTGGCATTTACGACAGTCGACGTGCACCAGGGGTATACAGTGAGAACGTACAGAGGGGCGGTGGGGGATATGGTACGATGTAGACTTCACATCAGACCCTTCCAGTCGAAGGATCAAGTGTTCGAGATTGTAAATGGTAGTAGAAGGGAGCTAAGGATAGGGATCAATTTGCAAGGCTAAACATACTAGAGCAGGGGAGGGGAGTAAGAAAGCGTTCAAGGAGTTTGCACAATGTTTCAAATGTGAATAATATTAGTGTAAGAGGAGCTAGGCTAGCTTATAGACCGAGCTTCATAGAGTATTCTGTGAAGTTTTCGGAATTTCTAGGTTGACCTCGTGCGGTAGTCCATATAAAAAAAAGGATCACCGTGCAGCTTCTGTCACCGAGTTTCCCATATTTTAGTGCAAACTATCACTAGTAGATTAACTACTCCATATTAGCTTACTCGTTTGGTCTACCGTTGAAACCACAAACGTTCGTCATGTAAGTGCACCTAACTCCCCAACTTTAGACCTCGAGCGCTTCAACCACGGTAAAAATGGAAGCAAAGTAAAAAGCGAACCCTTCAACGCCGACCTAAATATTTTCCCTGTCATCAAGCTCACTACCTTCTTTCCAGGTCAAAAACTACCACTTTCGCGATCTATGGAAACAACATGATAAGACTACCTATCTATATCCTAATACTCTTTCTGCGCTTAATCTACCCACTCTAACATCCGCCTATCTATCTAATAATGAAGTCCTTGGTCCTCATTACACACCTCGCCTTCAAATACTCGTTCTTAGTTAGTGTACTCGTTTGTGTAGAGTAAGTTGTTCTTCACCTGAGAGAGGAGAGGTAGAGAGCGATTGTAGGCATGAGGAGAAGAGGGAATAGGAACCGAAACGATGTAGAGTGGACGGCGGATAAAATCGGGGGGATTAGTAACTGAGTGGGCTTTGAAGGGGCGAAGATGTTTGATTGCAACTCAACCCATCTAGCCTAAAAGAAGAAATCTCCTCTGCGTCCCACTAAACCTATGAACTAGCCCCCATTGAAAGCAAGCTGGCAGTATCAATAACCCCCATACACCCACTCACTTGTCTCACCCCATCCATCCACGACCTGCAGATTCTAAGCTTAGTCATTGTAAACCTCAGACCATCATATCCCTCAAACCCTCCACCATACTAAGACCAACTCTTGAATCATGTCTCCTTCCCACACTACTCACAACTCTTGTACTGGCATTCGTACCAACTCCCACGCTTTCCGTGTCCCAATCCATCTCGCTCTCCTGGCTATCCTCCAAAAACAATCTCTCATATGCCCTCGCTTCGTCATCTGCACCATCTAAATTAATACTAGCAACCTTGCTTTTCTCCTCTTTCTCGGCTAAGAAACGCGAGTAGTTGGCTTGGATTTCATTTTGGTCGAGTAGAGTCGAGGTTTCCTTGGCCTGCTCGTATTCCATCTTGCTATCTGCACGGGACGGTGATCGCGATAGTGAAGGAGAAGCCAGCTTCGCAGGCACAGCATCATTGAGCACGGAGCATTCGTCTGTAGCGTGCCCAACCTTGGTATCTAAACTCGATGATGGCGACGGAGAAGCTAACACTTCATACACTGCACTATTTGTGGGCGTGTATCCATTTGCAGCAGAGGCGCTGAGATTGCTAATATGAGCTTCGATGCTCAGGCCCGGCTCTGGAGAGCCCTCAGTGGAGGTACTGGGTTTCTCCTTCGGAGAGCCAGGCAGGTGCGGAATCTTTATCTGAACCTTCTTTCGGCCTTGGAACACCATTCTCTTGACACTGCCCTTCTTCTTTAAAGCCGGCATGACTTTGCTCGCTGAGGCGGACGCAGCATACGCCCGTGACTTATTAGGGATTGCATGAATGAGCTCTTTCTCGTTGTCTTCGGAACCCATCACCGTCTCAAACCATCCAGGGTGGTCGTTCCTCGGCGAAGCAACACTGCGACTAGCCTCCCCCATCTTCCCTGTCGTAACATCCACCATACCAGGCACAAGCTCGTCATCCCACTCATCGTCGCCATCAGCATCGTCCATTGCCGTGTCCCACGGAAGAAAGTATAAGCTTGGGTCAATGCGGTCACTAAGCCGCTGGCGCTTCGCAGCGAGCTCGAGATCCATGTGTTCGAATTGATCGAGGGCGAGGCGTTGGCTTTGGAAGGCAGCGGGCGTCTCGAATAAAGCGGCGGCAGAGGCTTGCTTGGTCGCTTTGCGCTTTTTGCAGAAATTCCACTTGGAGTCGCCCATGGGCTTGTTTCCGAGAAGCACGCTGTAGGGTTTTGCAATCTTGGGGTCTTTTGTGGAATGATCTTGGGTTGGATGCTGCTCACTAGTTTCGTTGGACTGTTTTGGCTTCGTTGAAATGGATGGATCAATACGAAAATCCTCCTGTAATCTGTCGAAGCAGTCGATACTGTCTCCAGTGACTGTTCTCCGGCCACACTCATTCGAGTCGGGTAGACGGTAGCAGTGGGAGTTATCTAGATAACTCCCAATAGTCCGTGTAGTTTTGGTTGTCAACTCCGCAGGAGGGGTAGGCATGCGGCTGGTGGTACAATTGATGATAGCTTCAAGTTCCCCCTCCAGGCGTGCTGTTCTTGGCGAGATCGGACTCTCATTGCGGCATAACAGGACTAGCTCCTTGGCGTCGTTTGTCTTGCCAGCACAATCAAGCCTACAAAGCTTTTGAGATAGGTGAGCGTCCTCCCCTGGAAGACGGTTTTGGTTGAGCCCATCGACTTGGCTAAGTACCTCGTCCGTAAAGTTGGCACACGACCACAGAGAACTGTTTCGTGAGACCGATAGTCGCGTGATGGCATTTAGTGCTGGTGAATCCACCTCGCGCATGACCATTAGTGGCAAAGCCGATGACCCAAGTCTTGGCTTTGGCACAGGTCCACATTTTGATAAAGGGGTGCTTGAGTAAGATGGTAACCAAGAACTCACTCGGGGGGTCTTCTGGGGGGTTTCTTCTTGTTCAGGACTTAAATGCACAGAGACCGCGTCGTCGCTAGAAGGGCTAGAATAAGGGGCATATGGAATCTTGATTTCGGGACTCCAGAAGCGATTTGGAACGTCGGCAAGACCGTGATTCTGAGTCCTTGGAGTGACCTCTAATTTAAGGCAATATCGGGTTGTTTGTTCGAATCGAACTCCAAAAGGGAACTGCATAGTAATAGCCGCAGATAGAGTCGTTTCTATCGCCCTAGAGCCTTTCGAGCTCCCATTGTAAAGAGCCAACAGCCTTTCGCGACCGTCGTATGATTCGCGGTCAGGTACAATTGCCCGAAATCCTTGAATGTTGTCGTCCCACTCCAAACCTAGAGGCGTTGGTTCCACATAGTAGACAGGATAAAGCGCCGGGGGAGGGAATGCAGACCCAAGATATGGTTCCTTGTAATCAGGGACAATACGGTACTCTTTTCCCGGTGGAAGTTTGAGGGGGACATTAATGAAGTCGACAGCGGGCGGAAACCATGTTACTTCACCAGAGACCAAAATGCTACCCTTGACTGAACTGCAGGTGAAGCTGACCTCCAAGCTTGGCCGCGGAAATCTATCAATAAAACAATCTCTGGTTCTCAGAAAGTAGCAAATGGTCCTGGGAAGGTCACGTGAGGATATGAGCCATCCGTAGTTGAGGTTGGCTTCAGCGTCGTAGAATCGACCAATCATCTCATGCACAAGTGCAGAGATGTCGATGTCAATGTATCGCGGGTTCCGTTCAGAAATGAATTCTGTAAGACGAGTCGCCAGGAAGTATTCATTGACAAAATCTAGAAACCGACATCAGCGTGGATCTTATGTGGTTCCTAATCCCGGAAATTAGGGGAAGAAAGGACTAGGAGGACTAGTAGGACTGTGTGTAAAACTTTAGGGTGAAATGGAACACACCGTTGGAGTCCCGTAGCTGCTCGGCAAAGGCGTGCAAGACAATATCGCGAACTTGATTTTCGATGGCGTCCTTGAACATGGTCTCCCACACCGCGATCTCAGCTGCCTGGCGATAGGACAGTCCCTTCCAGCAAGACACCACGTCGAGGTGGCTCACGGGGAAATTCCGGTCAGTCGAGCGTCGAACTTGAGGGCAATATACATCAGATACCCTGGCCTTGTTGGATGCTGAGAGACCGTGTAGACAGAAGTCGACATCGAGGGAATTGAGAAGCTCGCGAAACGTTGGAGAGCTGGCATGGCTTCGGGGAGATGGGTGAGCGTGGTAGGCCATGACTGCGGGGAGGTATTGAAGGCTAGCAAATGTTCTACAAGAATTGATGTTGTAACGAGCCAAAGCAATACAACTTGAATGATGTAGTGGGGTGAGCGGGCAGAGAGGCGAAGCTGGAAACGAAACAACAAAGAGAATGGAAGGACGATCCTGATGGGGCAGCAGCGGGTGGACTCAGGCCGCTGGTTGATATAGCCTGCCGCTGGAAGCGGCAATGATGGCAGTTACGCCCAGCGCTGATGCTCCATAGCCCTCGACGCTCTTGCGACCTCGGAAAGGAGGCTAGTCTGGCAAAGTCAGTGCGCTTTAGACGGCATCCATAGTCGCACGTGTAGTTAGTCTACGATGGACATCAGCAGTGTAAGTAAGGTATTGTGAAAGGAAGCTGCATACCGCTCGTTCTTGTTACCGAGCTTAGATATTTGCAGGAAAGCATCTACACCGAAGCCCTCAAGACTGTGAATCTCGAGGCTTCCAGCCCAATACTCTGTTTGGATCTGTCAAGGTACGAACCACTAGGACACGCGACCACTTACCAGAGTATACCCTTGACATGGGTAATCCAATCCCAAGGCGAAGGTCTGGTGGTCGACTGGTGAGGGTAAACAGGGATCCGTGATGTTGGCTGGAGTCACTGTATTTGGATTTCTTGCCATGCTTCTTGTGGACATCTTGCGATTGATCTCCAGGGATTTGAAGTTCTTGCATGGTACCAAGCAGCCTGGGGACCCGAGCAAGATTTTCTAGCCTTCGTTCCCGACGCGGGCCTTTGCTGAAGCTCCAAAGATGTGGTAGAACCTCTGTGGGAATGCCGCCTCCTTGATCAGATATTCTAATAATCACGTGTTGGGCAGTCTCGCAGATCAGGACCTCTATTGGCGGAGGCACTGCGTCTTTGAATTTCCTTTGCTCGATAACAGCCTGGATTGAGTTCCGGAGTAGTTCTCCCACGATGTACTCCAGGTGGCTCAGAATATAGGGGAATGTAGCATCTAGATGGCCTCTGACTTGTATTTCTGGAATTGCCAGGTGAGAGCCATATGCTCGTTTGACCAGCTCTTGGGTGGTTTTGCCACATCGCTCGACAATCTCCTTTGCGTTGCACCGCAAGAAGATCTCACCTACTGCTTCCGCATTGGGGTCGTGCACAGGTTGCGCGTGGGGAAAGTGCCAGGGAGAGTTGAAAGTTTCGGTGAGTGCCAGGTGCTGTTCCGCTATTACCCGACGCGATATCCGCTGTGGCTCTATTAGGGATATCCAGGACAAGTTGGGGAAGTGGCATTGCCCTACCGATCTCAACATGGTGTTCATAAACTTGTCGGTTTCCTCAGGCTTCATAAGACCCCGCACTTCAAGCACGCCAATGGCCAGTCTGGGGATGACGGTGGCATGCTCTTTCAGAGTCTCTTCTAGAACTTTGCAGTATTTGTCATTATCCTCCAAAGAGCGGATTTCAGGAATGCGACGAAAGCGCTCGAAGGCGCGCAAATAAAGCTCGTAGACATGGGCGAGGTGGGGGTTGGCAACAACCACATATGGAAGGGTCTGAATATCGCGCAGCCGGTGGGCTATCCTGTATTACTCCCGTGAGTGCCGATAGAGCAGAGCAGTGAGGGTGATGAACCTCGTGGGCAATTCCAGCCTGCAGTAGTTGGCCGAGTCAATCAGTCGAGCCTCGGTAAGAGTGCGACCGAAAAAGGTCAGTCGACGCAGACTTATAGGGCGGGCTTCTCGCTGCACCCATCTACGAGCAAAGGTCAATTGGGGCAAGATGGGTGGGTGGAGTGGAAGCTTTACTCGTCGAGAGCAGACGAAGGTCTCCAAGTCGGAGGTACAGCGGTGGCATGCGCACTTCTCACATGGGACGGGACAGCAAAAATTCTACGAGGAGCTCGAAGGCAGCGTGAGGAACTCCTCACAGTGCCAAACAGAGTCTTCCTGCCCAGGATCATGACTGGGGGTGGGGGGTGGGCTGAGGAGGAGAATGGTGGTGGGGAAGGTTAAATCATCGTCAGATGTGAAAAAGGATATCTGAAGCCTGAGCCTGCAGCCGGCCGTGAGAGGAAAAAAGAAAACGCAGAGCCCCAATGGGAACTCGGGCATAGCGTGATTGGTGCGGGGCCACGGGGGTCCGCAGCATGGCGAAGGTGCTGGAGCTGGGGGGGGGGGAGCGATGATGGCATTTCGTTCTTGACAGCTACGAGCGTTTGCAGCTGTCTGCGTCTGCGACTCTTGATTCACAGCTTGCTCAGTCTTGCATGGGCGTCGTTGGTCTGCGTTCGTTTGATGCATGACGTCCATTTGATTGACTCTTGGGCGCGCTGTCTCGACACCTTAGGTAAGCGTTGAGCCGCAGCCTGCGCATGCGGTGAATCCCCCAGCAGCTGTATCAATATATATCAATCGCCTCGCGTCTTTGCGCACCCTGCAAAGGGCCTGTTCAAAACATTCCGTGTAGTCCCGTGCATGCAGCTTTCCTGGGGTCTTTCTCACCAGCGTCCGGCGTCATTGTCCTCCGCCACCTTTTAGCGAGACCCGCGAGCCTCCAGGGCTCCATCCTAACCAGGCACTGGCGACACTTGCGCTGGTAACCTCGACCGTCACTCTTCACCTCGGCCACACGCGCCCCCAGTTCTCGTCTTCTGCCTTGAGTGCGAGCCCCGTCTCCTGCCCCGCTCCCTTCTTCTGCTCGCACTAACTGCCTCTTGCGCAGCCCAAACCCTCCCCCCCCTCCCCCCACTGCTACAAAAATCATGGACCAGGTAAGCTTCCATGGCTGCGCATGCCTCCCGCCGCTGTTTTCCACCCTCATTACTAACCAAGCCCCCCCAACATATAGCTCGGAAGCGACATGATGGTCGACCCCACGTACGACGAGAAGCACGATGTGGCCATCATCTCCCCCGATCCTGATGACACCATGGACGAGGTTGAGCCCGAACCAGAGCCGCGCGCCGACGAATATGAAGCTTTCATGAGGAAGCATATGTCCGGGCTGCCAGATCAGGAGACCGAGGCCGAGACGATCAATACGTGGGAAATCAGGGACTGGAGAAACCTGGGTCGTCGAGAACATGGCCCCGTTTTCGACTGCGGCGGCCATCCCTGGCGGATACTGTTCTTTCCATACGGCAACAACGTCGACTTTGCTTCTTTCTATCTCGAGCAAGGCTACGAGGAGAAGAAGGTCCCCGAAGACTGGTATGCCTGCGTCCAATTCCTGCTGGTGCTTTGGAACCCCAGCGACCCGAGCATGTACGTCATGCATTCGGCCACCCACCGCTTCACCGCCGACGAGGGGGACTGGGGCTTCACAAGATTTGCGGAGCTGCGGCGGCTCTTCAGCTCTCAGTGGGACGAGCGGGGTCGCCCTATGGTGGAGAACAACAGTGCAAATATCACTGCGTACATCCGCGTGCTAAAAGACCCAACTGGTGTCCTATGGCACAACTTCATCAAGTAGGACCGCCGCCTGAACATGTTTCTGTATGCACAAGCTGATCCTTGCCGCAGTTACGATTCCAAGAAGGAGACGGGCATGGTTGGCCTGAAAAACCAGGGTGCGACGTGCTACCTCAATTCACTCCTTCAATCTTTGTTCTTCACCAATGCATTCCGACAAGTATGTCTCACTCCGGCGCAGCACGGCAATGCAAAGCTAACAAGCTTAGGCCGTCTACCAAATACCCACCGAACAGGAAACAGATCGTCAATACAGTGCGTACGCATTGCAGCGGCTGTTCTATCTACTTCAGACCTCTAACAACGCTGTCGCGACGAACGACTTGACCCAGTCCTTTGGCTGGGACTCAAAGCAGATCTTCGAACAGCAAGATGTCCAAGAGTTGTCGCGAGTCCTCATGGATAAGTTGGATGAGAAAATGAAGGGTACTGAAGCAGAGGGTGCGCTAGAAAAGATGTTCGTTGGCAAGATGAAGACCTACATTTCCTGCATCAACGTCGACTATGAGTCGTCTAGGATGGAAGACTTTTGGGATATCCAGCTTAACGTGTCCGGCAATAAGAATCTAGACGACAGTTTTAACGACTACGTCCAGGTCGAAACAATGGACGGCGAGAACAAGTACTTCGCCGAAGGCTTTGGTTTACAAGATGCCAAGAAAGGCGTCATTTTCGAGACTTTTCCCCAGGTTCTCCACTTACAACTAAAACGATTCGAATACGACATCAATCGCGACGCAATGATGAAGGTAAATGACCGCTACGAGTTCCCTGAAATTTGGGATGCCTCCCCATACCTCTCAGAACAAGCAGATCGATCAGAGCCATACATGTACCATCTTCATGGCGTTTTGGTGCATAGTGGCGATTTAAACGCGGGGCATTATTATGCTTTCTTAAAACCAACCAAGGACGGCCATTTCTACAAATTCGACGATGACCGGGTAACTCGTGCGACAAGCCGAGAAGCACTAGAAGAGAACTTTGGAGGAGATTACGCCCACGCCAATGGCAACATCCCTCAGCGGAATCCCTATACCCGAACGTGGTCTGCCAAGCGCTCTATGAGCGCCTATATGTTGGTCTACATCAGGGAGAGCCGACTGGATGAAATTCTGATGACCGGGAAGTCTGTCGAGCCTCCCACCCATCTTGCGGAACGCGTCGCGGAAGAGAAGGCGGCTTTTGAACGCAGAAGGAAAGAACGCGAGGAGGCTCATCTGTATATGGAACTCCAGGTTGCATCAGAAAACAACTTCAAAGTATATCAGGGATTTGATATTGTGCCTTGGAAAGCTGAGACCGACACTGCCGCACGCCCAAAAGCATATCGGATACTACGGGCCACCACTATGTCGGAATTCTGCCAAATAGTAGCAGATGACCTTGGCATGGAGCTAGACATGATCAGACCGTGGGCAATGGTGAACCGACAGAACGGCACTATCCGCCCCGATGTCCCGATCACATTTCCTGATATGACGGTCGAAGAGGCCTCCAACAAGTTCGGCACAAAGACTACTCAATTCAGGTTGTGGATAGAGAAAGCCGAAAAGCGGGACGAAGATGGAGATCCAGTCTTTGGCGACAAACTCATTGACCTCAAGAACCAACAGAGCAATCGACCGCTTATGCTCTTCCTGAAGCACTTCGATGCCAAGACGCAAAGCTTGTTCGGCATTGGCAACTTCTATGCGGCCTACCAAGATCGAGTGTGCGATGTGAGCCCTCAAATTCTGCGAATGATGGGTTGGCCTGCTGGGACCACCTTCAAGCTGTCTGAAGAGATCAAACAGAACATGATCGAGGCCATGAAACCAAAGGTGACCTTGGCTCAGTCCGAAATTCAAGATGGCGATATCATCACCGTCCAGAAGGCATTGCCGGAGAAAGAGTAAGTTTTCTCGTGTGTCTTGCCACTGAATGAGCTAAAAGAGTAATAGGACAACCCAAATTATAGCAACCGGCGGTTACGTGGAAGCTAAGGACTTTTACGATTACCTGCTAAATCGTATTAATGTGGAGTTCCACCCAAGACATGGCCTGGAATCTGGACATCCACAATTCACCTTGACCTTGAGCAAGAAGATGACCTACGACCAATTCTCGGCCAAAGTTGGTGAGCACTTGAAGGTGGATCCTACGCATCTCCGGTTCACGACGATCAATAACGCTGGCAAGCCCAAGCTGGCGGTAAAGTACACTCAGCAAGGTACTCTAAGCAACATTCTATATCCGGGACCCTACAACTACTCCGCCGCCTCCATGCAGAAACAAGATGCACTATTCTATGAGGTCCTCGAGATGAGCCTCAAGGAGCTAGAACAACGGAAGAGCATGAAAGTCATCTGGTTACCTGATGGTATCCAGAAGGAGGTCCGTTGCATAATTTCATCTAGCATTTCTATGGCTAACTTTATCTAGGAGGAGTACACGTTGATGATACCTCGAACTGCACAGGTGTGCGATTTACTCGAAGCGCTCCAAAGGAAAGCTGACATTAGCGACGAAGTCATGAAAACTGTGCGACTATACGAGGGCCACAACAGCAAGTTCTACAAGAACCTTGCAACGGACTTTGCAATCATGGGGGTTGGTGAATATTTGACGCTTTATGCCATGCCATTTCCGGATGACGGCGCCAACACGAAAAGAATATCTGTATTCCACTTTGATAAGGAACCAGTCAAGGTCCATGGCATCCCGTTCCAGTTCCCGCTCAAAGAGGTATGCACCCAAGGTTTATCTTTCATTTGTAAATACTTATACAACAATAGGGCGAGCCATTCAGCGAAACCAAACAGCGCCTATCTGATTTCATGAAAATCAAGGGCAAGCAATTCGACAAGATTAAGTTTGCAGTCGTAAGCAAACCTCACTACTCGAGGCCAGAGTACCTTGAAGATGGTGAGCTTTCCAATATGCCCCAATTTTCTATTCACAACCTAATACCTGCACACAGACGAGACTCTATGGGATCTAATGGGTGCCCGGGACGATATAGCGCTGGGCCTGGACCACGTGAACAAGGCAAGAAGCTTCTGGGGAAAAACTGATTCTATCTTCATCCGATGATCCGTCTTTTTCCATACTTTGCTTATGCTGGTGTGTGTAGGATGCACTGTGGTGTCAGAATAGGAGTGCCACGCCCGTCACACTTGTTTTCAAATAGGCGTACGGTGGATCCACAACATGGCGAGGCGGGTTTGTTTCTCGGACCGGACTCAGGCGTGAGCGATCTTGTGCATATCTAGATTATGGTGTGATTCTGAGAAGGTTTGATCCGTAACTTCTGCTGCTTGGTAGATTCGCGCGGCGTTGAGGAGAAGGAATGAGTGCGAGGAGCTTGGAGTGAGGTGGTACACGGGTGAAGGGGGTTTGGATTTTGGGGCGCTGGTCTAGGGGGGGGGGATGATGGATAGCGTCAGGGAAAGCACACGAGGAACATCTATAGCAGTCAAAAATGCATTTGCGAAACCGTAAGTTATTCCCACAAGACATCTTGCCTTGCACTCGTTAATCATGACGGCACTTCACGTTGATTGGTCACCGCGCCCATCTTTTTTTTCATTGGCCAATAGGCCCCTGTCCGCCAAGTTTCCGTAGAAACATTCTTCCGACCCCCCTGCAACTTCCAGCTGTCGATATCGCGAAAGTCGTGTGTTGCCCTAGCATTGCCTTTCAATCCTGCCACCAACCCCATCAACAATGCAGACATTTCTCGCTCTATCTACCCTGCTAGCTTTCTGTGTCTCTGCTGTGCAGGGTACAGCGCTGACGTATAAGCTCGATGCGAATGAGAAGGCCTGTTTCTTCTCCGATGTCGAGCACAAGGGGACCAAGGTTGCTTTTTACTTCGCGGTATGTACAAATGATACAATTTCGGACTCCAATTACTTAACCTCTGACTCAACATACCTTCTATTACCTCCCTGTACCCACAATCTACCAAAGCAAGGTTGTTTGCTGACTGGCAGTGCTGCAATAGGTCCAATCCGGCGGCTCCTTCGATGTCGACTACTCAGTCGTAGGACCCAACGAGAAAGCCATTCTAGACGGGACAAAGGAGAGACAAGGAGATTTTGTTTTCACTGCCAATGATCCCGGAGAATATAGGTTTTGCTTTAATAATGAGATGAGCACTTTTGCGGAGAAGATGGTGGATTTTGAGATTGCTGTAAGGCCTTCTTCGCGCCCTACTCCCCTACCTTCTATCTTCCCTCTCATATACATACCACTGCATGACATCAAACTTCCGTTATTCCGTGCTAAATCTCGAAAGCTGACAAATTTTCCCTTCATGTAGGTCGAAAACGAGAACCGCGCCCAACTTCCCTCGAAGCAGGGCTCCACCCCCGAACAAACTTCCGTCCTCGAGGAATCGATCCTCAAGCTCTCCGCGCAACTCTCCACTATCTCCCGGAATCAGAAGTACTTCAGAACTCGCGAGAACCGGAACTTCAGCACTGTGCGCAGCACAGAGAAACGCATTTTCAATTTCAGCATTATTGAGGGATGCATGATGGTTACAATGGCGGGACTTCAAGTCTTTGTTGTTCGGTTCTTTTTCCAGGGCGCGCGGAAAGGTGGGTTCATAGTTTCGTTGGTTGGGTTTTGTTTTGCGCGAGAGGAAATGAGATGCTAACGTATTCATAGGATACGTGTGAACGACATTTGTTCTGAGAGGGGCGAGGCAATCCTAGGTGGTGTTAAGATAACGTGGGGGGACATCGGAACGACTGGTCTGTCTGGGTATGCATGGCGCCTTGTGATGGTGCAATTGGGCATCAATGATTGTCCTGGCTTTGGGTTTTGGGAGTCAACACAGGCAGGTATAATTGAGTTCTATCGGAGCATTCAAGAACTACCTTGGTCGTACTTTGATCCTCACTTCGTCTTTCGTCGCGTTTTTTTATTTCATCTATCCAATCTTGTGACCTCCACTATAGACAGACATATTCGGTATGAGCCGTACCAGGAAGTATTGTAGCCCCTTTTAGCGGCTCTTCAGCGCAACAATCATCGAGTACGCTCTTCGTCACGATATCAATCTCTTAAGGTCAGGTGTATCGACTCGGTGGGGAAAGGGAAAGAGAAGGTAGTATTAGTACTTGGCTTGCGCAAAAAGTGAACGAGGGAGATAGGTTCCGACCAGCAGTTACATGATTCCGGTACGTTTGTGGCCAGATATGGTCCTTGAGGGCAGTGCAGCATGATGAATGCTCATGTTGTATGAAGAGGTGGTAAATACGCGGCTTACCCTATCACTTGTGCGCTATGTTAAGAGGAAGGTGAGTCTCTTCCGCTGCTCTCTCACTGTTTGCAAGACTCCACGAACATCAACTCCATGCAGGCGGTACCCATAGCTAGCGTCAACTTGTTTTAACACAATTTGGTCACGTGGGTGGCAAGAAAAGTAGCCCGCTCTAACATCTATTCGCCGATTCCAGAGCGGAGAGTTGCTCTCCTACAGCCTTTCACTGGGTGTCGGCAAGGCTCCACAAACTTCTAATTCCATCCATCATGTGGCCAGCCCTCGACGGCCAGCGCCAGCTCCGGAGCGTAGTGAAAGAAAGGAGGTATCTTGGCGGCAGTTTTCAAAGGTCGTCCGAGTCAATTGAAAGGTTCTATCTCCATTTTCAAGTGATATCGACATTTCTCTTCTTCACACACTCGACATCATCCAACCAGTGACATCATGTATACGCCATCTCACAGTAAGTAGTATTGCCTCATTCGTAACAGTGTCTTACTAACAATCACAGCCATGGTGACTCCTTTTGCCCCGGGTACTGACACCATAATCGCATGGGAATCTGTGCAGTCTTGGGTACAACAGGCACTCCCAGTCGGCAAGGTTGATTTCGACAACTGCGACATCGGCTTCGCAGACTCTGCTATGAATGATACTGGTTTCAACGACTTTCTTTCACTCGGGCAGCTGGCCTTCACTTATGACTACCCGCAGCATGGCCTGCCTAGCCCGCCTGGCCAGTTTGGCGTGCGTGATATCTTTTCACCCAATCACCCAAGCAACCAGATGACGGAATTCTACGGTGCTACTGATTACCCTCCCTTCACCTTCGGTGGCGTGCATTTACCTCAAGGTTCGCCTGCATATCCACTACTGTATGCCCCTGCTGCCATGCCCGGCGATCACGACTATTTCCCGGATATTGATGGTAAGTGATGCCCCTTCATTCGAGGTCATATGTTGTCAAGGACATGTTTACTTCATCACAAGAAAATATTGGAATTGTTGGCGGTAGTTGCGAAGAAATTCCATCAAAATATAACTATACCAATCTGCACAGATTTGACGGCGGCGCGTTGTTGATGAGGCCACCGCCTCGCTCTACGCGTGGTGTTGCGCCTACTAGACTCGAAGATGACGAGAACTATATGGCAGGGTATCAGCCGAACCGGAATCAGAACGAACCTAGCGAGAATCACACTGATGCAGCTTTGACTGCGGAGGCAATTTCATCCGTTGCTCAGAATGTGGCTCCGACCACGCAAATGGCCCTGGACACGCCGTCGTGGCACCGGCATCAGATGCTCGGTCACGCTGTCTCTGTTCCAGCTATACCGAAGTTTCCGACTACACCAGCCAAGGCCAGGGATCCTATGGGAGGTCTGGCAAACACTGTGCCGAAGCGCGTTGCGTTTTCTGCTCGAGATTGGAATGGAGGGTTAGATGAGGGCCAAGAAGGTGTGAGGGTTTCAAGCACGAGGCGGAAACGCAACTTGAGCGCTATTGAAGAGGATTCTAACCATAGCCCTGATCCTAGTCCCGGCCTTCGTTACGGCTATGAAGCTCCAGCAATCGGAGAGCCTAGCAGGAAGCGCCGTGCTAGAACTGTGCACATCACCACGCCTGGCAGCAGCCTCCCCACGAACGCGCCTGAGCTCTACAGTGAGATGGTCAAAGGCAGTCGCAGCACTCGTCGTGGAAATCGAAGCGTGGGAACCCTCCCCCCTACCCACCATTTCGGCATCGATTACAACGCCACCCGCGTTTGTCCCCTTAACCTCATCGGTGGCCACGGTTGTGTCAAGCTAACTCCAAATCTCTTCCTCAACTCAGCCGCGCAATCTAGGACCACCAAAGCCACACCCTTCGTGTTCAACCGCCATATATACCCAGCGCAGGATTTTGTGAACCCGGGAAATACAGCCTCGCTCATTCCTTCTGCGTACGCCGCTCAATCCGCTGCTCCTCGAAATCTCACTGCCGGATATGATCCTGCCGACCCCCCACTCTTCGGCATGGGTACCGATTCCCAGGCCTTCAAGGACCTAGCGGCACATCGCATGGAATATGGAGGAGAGTATGCGGCAGATCTTAGCGCTATGCCAGAGGTTTCACTTGAGAGTGGGCTGACTGGTGTTCCATTTAAGCCGTTTGATATGGAGGGTGGGAAACCAGGAGAATTGGAACGTGTTATGCCACCGCAGGACTGGGAGGAGGGTCTCTTTGCGCTGGTGCCAGGAAGGGGCCATGGAGTTATGGGTGAGGGTAGGGGTAAGGTTAGGGATGAGACAAGAGGAGAGGGAAGGGGACAGGTGGATGATGCGGGAGAGCTGTTCAAAGTCTGCACGATCGATGATGATGGCATGCTGTGCGGACCAGAGGATAAGGTGTTGAGTGAGGAGCGCGCGGAGGTGGATTATCTTCTCCGTCTGCATGGTAAGGGAAGCGACTGTGAGCTCCGCATGTATAACCGTGGGGGTTGGAGGCATTCGCGCCAAGGCGAGTGATGGTGTTGTCTGCCTACGTGGCGCGTTCTCGGGCGAATGTTGACATGGTCTAGGCTAAGGCCATAGATCTGGCTACGTAATGATGTGGTGGTGGTATCTCGGGCGTGTGGCTTGAGCTGGCCGCGTAGTTCACAGGTAGCTGGGGGATAATGTGTTTGCCGTCTGTCAGGCTTTAATGGTTCGGTAGTGGGATCGGTCCTAATATCATGCTTTCGTGTAATGCTAGTCTAAATGAATATCAGCACTTTCGACTTCCTCAACTGCTATCTACCCTCAGAGCCTTTCATGCTGCAGTTACAATCTAGACAATGTACTCTAACCTTATCACAAGCCCCTATCTAGCCATGGCAATTAGCTAGCCTATCACCCCTCACACTACCGGGAACGTCCCCGTCGCCACAAACCCCTCTCCCTTCCTCCTCTCCGCCCAATCCCTCAATCCCTCCTCCAACCCTCCAACCAACCCCTTATTAATCCCCTCCTCACAGAAGCTGACACGCCCCGGCCACCAAGCCAAAAGCTCCTGTGCCAATGCCCCACTCCCCGCATCTAGCAATCCCACCGCCACATCCACGATACTCTGTCTCGCATCCCCATCCCAAAACACGTTCGCCCCGCAGACACTACAAAACGTCCTAGTCACATTCCCCGAACTGCGATACGTTTTCATAGTACCCCAGTAGGGATTACGTGAAAACGGGATGGTTCCTGCGGAGTCGAGGGAGATGTTGCATGTGGGGATGAAGGCCCAGAAGGTGATGTCAAAGCCGGAACAGCGGCGGCAGGAGACGCATGTGCAAGTTCCGGCGAGGTAACGGGTGGGATATGGGAGCCACCACGGGTAGTTTTGCGGGTTTGCAGGCGAGCCGGAGTGGTATGGGACCAGGAGGTCTGGGTAGGAGGATGATGCAGTTTTGGAAGAGGGGTTGGGGGGGTGGATGAAGAACTGGGTGCCGGTGCAGTGGCAGTGGGCGCGTATGCTTCCAGTTGCGCCGTGGGTGATTGTTGTTGAGAGTTGGAAGGAGAGAGGTGCTTCTTCGCTTTGGTCGGGCTCTCGCAGATACCGTGGTAGAGGATTCCCATTTATGGCGGTGATGAAGTTACTAGCGCCTCCGTCTGGAGTGTCTTCAACCCAGATATGCGCTTTGAAATCTACAATCCCGTCTGTACTCTCCACTATTAAAGTCCCAGTCGCTGCTTCGAAATGCCCGTCTGAGGCGTATTCAAGATACATGTGTGTACCGCATGTTGTGCAGAAATACCGCGTTAGGATATCAGAGCTTTTATAGGGTGTGAGCGCTGAGAGATCGGGGTTTGGCGAGGTAGGGGATGTGGAGGGGAGGGAGATGTAGGATGTTAACAGGGAGCCTGAGATTCGTCGCGAGATGTTGCAGTTGCAGAAGTGGGCAGGGAGGGGTAGGGAGGAGAGTGGGACGGTGAATGTGTGGGTGTTGGTGCCGCAGTGGCAGGATAGTTTAAGTTCTCTTGAAGCTTCGACCATTGTAGGAGGGCAATGGGTAGTTGGTATTTAGTCGTTTCTTGTGGGACAACTTTGGTTTAGGGCTTCATATCGCTATCAAGATAGAGAGAGTGTGAGGCGCTCAATTCAGAGGCTACCCCGCTTTGTTAGAACGTGGTTAAGCGATGCGAAATACAAAGTTGTCTTAAATGTGCCATGCTTTATCTCACCTGTGTTTAATTTAGCTAGTTTTAAACAACATTAACATGTGTGCAGGACATAAAAGACTATTTAATGTTCCTCTAGTATCTGTGTTTAAGCTGGTCTACTTTAGGTCTAAGTAAAGTTATAATAGGTAGATAAAAAGGCCTTATGTATAGTATATGTAAGCTTTTAGTAGAAGCAGAGATGAGGAACTAAGCTAATTGCTTAAAGAGTGTACCTAGGGGTCTATGTATATGCGAGAAAAGGGGTAAGTCTTAGCAACAGAAGACTATTGTAACATGCAACTATTGTGTAAGCTACGCGTAAGAGCTATGTAGAACTACTTAAACACGCCCCCAATGTAAGGACAGGGCTCTGTACCACTGCTCCAATACAACTAAAAAGGTGCGAATAATCGACTAACAGTTGATCTTCGTACAGAATAGTATATATACCCGTCGCGCGTAAAGACCCTAGTACAAGCCGTTTCCAGCCTTTGAGTGCATTATCCTTTGTAAAGACTAGCGGCCTTAGAGCTTTTATATATAATATACCCTCTTATTTTACGTTTAAATTGCTTTTTTAAACATAATAGACTACTTTTACTTAAGCTTTACTAAGCTTTACTATTTACTTTAGAAATAGCTACACCTATGTAGAAGTTATTAGAGAAGACTTTAATCTTTATACTTTAAAGTAACCTATTTTAGTAGAGGCTAAAGCTAGCTTTTTCTAGCATTAACTTTAAGTTTTTAATTTTAGAAAAGTCTTTAAAAGACTGTAATAAACATAAAAAAAAAGGCTATTTAAAATCTATTAACTCTATAAAAGATATTGTAAGAGCACTGTAAAGCAGGAAGCATGAAGCGCAGAAGAGGGTACAGGATAGTATTGATAGACGAATCCTTGAGGAGACTCAGGAGTTCGTGAAAGGATAACCGTGACAGATATAGTAACTTGAAAATAACTTATTAAAAATGCTTACACCTAAGTTAAAGTTTTTAAGTATTAAAAAACTTTATATAAACTAGATATAAAAAAGACTTATAAAGTTACTAAAAGAATTTTAAAAAAATCTAAGCTAAACTTTATAAAGTTAAAGCTGTCGGTTAGCTCACTCCTCTAGATGGCTACGCATCTGGTAGTGGGTCTCTTCTCTGCGTGGCTACGCACGCGGTAGGTGGATAGGCAGCTGTACGCTAAGCGTACAGCCTGTAACAGGGTGAGCAGGCAAAGATCTTCTTGTGATTAACTACTGCCCTCTCTCTTTGTACAAAGAAAGAGGGTTGTTAAGTACATTTAGCCCCTAACGCACAGGCTAGATAGCCAACGTTTCAGGCAACTTAATTCAGCCGTACGCGTGTACAGACGCAGCTGTACTTATGTACAGACAAAAGCACTTTTTTTTAATAAAATTATAGAAAATAAAAAAAGCTTACTAGCCTTAAACTAAAGCACTTTTAGACTACAGCAAAAAAAAACTCTACTATAAAACAACTTACTTATTAAATACTAAGCCTAGCAATGCTATTTTAGTAAAAACTAAGTAAATATACTTTTAAACTAAAATAACTAGTTAATACTTATTAATTTCTAAGAAAGTAAAGAACTTTTTTATACCTTTTTATAAATTTTTAATAACTAAAATAGAAGCTTTTTTAGAAATATCTAGTAAAAAAATTTGTTTAAAAAATAAATAAAGCTTTTAAAGTTTCTAGTAAAAGCTTTTATACTTTTCACGAAAAAGAAGAATAAAGGTCTACGCTTATATATAGACTATAAAAGACTAAATAATTAAACTATTCTTTTATATAAAGATTCTTAGACTAACTAAAGTAATCTAAGGTCTATATTAAAAAGAGAGATAAATAAAAGACAGCCTTCTAGACTTATTATAAACACTATAGGTACATAGTAGCTCTCTTTAGACTTATAGATGCTTCTATAGTTTCTAAAAGTTTATTAATAAAAACTCGACAACTTATAGTAGGTACATCTAAGATTGCGCTGCAGTGGGTGAGCAACGTTGAGCAAGGGTAAGCAGACCTGAGCTGAAGCTGAGCCAGGCTTCAGCGGAACTCGGCCACACCAATGTATTGTTGTAAAGATGGGATGGTAAATAGCACGGATAGCACTGAGAGCAAGCTTTCGGAGAAAGATAGGAGTGTATTGTAAGAGAGACGAATCGCTGCCAAGCTTTGCTTGTCAGGATTCATGCTTATATACGAAGCACAGGTCATACGACCTCCAAACAGGTCAGGTGAGGCCATACTGGCC